CAATTTACAAGGCACTTATTACAGAAGAATTACCTGGAACAAAAACCATCAAAACACCACTTAGAGCACTAAAAACTGAGAAAACAATGTCAATGTTCAAGATTAGGGTTTGGTGCTATTGTTCATGTCAACTGATGCACAGTAATCCACATATAACAATTGAAAAAGAAATAAAGTAGAAGCTCTCTCCCTGATGTGACCAGGACTAATACTGGTTTTGGTTTTAAAAATAAAACCAAAAATAACAGCTGGTTAAAAGAGAGGAATCATTCAAAATGTACATTCAGCTATCAAATACTTGATAAGAAACCAAGGCTTTTTCTTGAGAATAAGTTCTAACAATTAAAGTTCCAGCATGACTTACACCCATGATGCATGCCTAAGATTCCCAGTTTTTACGTTCCCAATTATTCATATTTCCTCTACTAGAGGTAGAAAATAAATTTACAAGAGACTGTTCTTGATATAAAACGAACACAATCAGGAATCATTGCAATCTAGCACTTTATTTAAAATATTCCAGGTGCTTTTAGAATAGATATGTATCTTTCAGCACTAAGGCTTCATCTGAAAAGGAGTGGAAATTAACAGAGGTTCAAGTCTGAGGAACACAAAGGGAAACTGGGCACACTGTGTCTTCAGCTTGCAGAATTGACTGAAGAGCCAGAGTGATCTTTCCATAATGCAAACCTAATTAAGTCATTTCCCTTCCATTCAGTGGCTTCTTTCTGCTTTCAGGAAAAAGTCCAAGCTCCCTCATCAAGACCCGGGAGGCTCTACAGCCTTATTTTCACCCTCGTCCAGGACCGATGCCCTCTTCTCACCACAGGCTGCGAAGGCGTCCCTTCCACTCCGCTCCCCTGCCCCTTAGTTGTCAAGTCCTGTTGATTCTCCTGAAATGTCTCTCAAATCTGCCCTCTGCATCCCAATCCTGCTGCCAGTGCCCTAGACTGGGCCCCCCCTCTTTTTTTAACCTTTACTCCTCCATCTCCCCAAACAGGATAAAAATATCCTTATGGCTTTTTTTTTTTTTAAATATAAAAGCAATTCACGCTCATAAAAAAAAAAAGAAATGAAAAACAATGCAATAAGGAAAGGAATAAAAGTCTCCCCATAATCTCATGACACAAACATAAAGATCTTATCTTTCTAGTACACTCATGTTCTTGGCAGCATTATTCACAAAAGCTCAAATCGGGAAGCAACCCAAATGTCCAAATAAATAAACTGGATATACAAAATGTTTTGGAATGTTATTCAGTCTTAAAAAGGAACGAAATTCTGATACATGCTAAAACATAGATGGACCTAGAAGACATTATGCTGAATTAAATAAGCCCATCACAAAAAGACAAACACTGTATGATTCCAGTTATATGAAGTATCTAGGGCAGCCAAGTTCATAAAAGCAGAAAGAAGAATGATGGTTGCCAGGGAGGGGCTAGGAGGAATGGGGAAATGAGGTATTGTTTAACAGGTATAAAGTTTCAGTTTTGCAAGATGAAAAAGTTCTGGAGATTGACTGCACAATAACATGAATATCCTTAACACTACTGAAATGATAAATTTTATGTTATGGGTATTTTACCACAATTAAAAATTTTAACGAACTAATCTTTCCAGACATTTTCCCTTATAACTATGTATGCACACATTTAAAAAATTGGCCCTGGCTGGTGTGGCTCAGTGGACTGAGCACCAGCCTGGGTTGCTGGTTCGATTCCCAGTCAGGGTACATGCTTGGGTTGCAGGCCAGGCCCCCAGCTGGGGTTGTGCAAGAGGCAACTGATCTCGCACATGCTAAAAAGATGTTCCTCTCCCTCTCTTTCTCCCTCCCTTCACAGTGTAGTGATTGTGGCGGGGAGGGGATGCAGATGTGTGGAGGTGGAAGTGGGTATAGGAGCGATAAATGGTAATGGAAAAAATACAATTTAAAAAAAAAGAACATACTGTAATCTGCTTCCCCTACCTAACCATGAGGTTAAATATCCTTCTCATATATATAGTTCACACCTTCTTTTTTAACGGCTAGTAGTACCCATCACATGACTGCACCATAATTTAACCAGTCTGTCTGCAGGTTTTCAGTATTATAAAAAGATCACAGTCAACATCTTTGCATATTTTCTCATTATGTCTTATGATAGACAGCTGGGTTTTTACATGCCCCCTTTTTGGGTATCAGTACCTTGATTTTCCCAAGGGAAAATGATCTCTTCACCCTAATACCTGTTCTGTACCCTACTTTCCCCAATCTAGCCAACTCTTGTTCTATTTGGCCAGCATGCGCACATTTATTTTAAAGTCTATTCCTGGTGCTTATTTTTCATATTGATAGTCATTTCTCCTACAATTACATTTTCTGACTATTATTGTTTGCATAATGCGATTGCTTTTTGTCTATCTTGTAGCTGCTTATTCACTTAATCCTATATCTAATTATTTTTAACTTAATTCTGTTGAATTTTCTCAGCGGATAATCATATTATAGGCAGGCAATCATATCAGTTAGTTACTTATTAAGGCTAAAAGCTCTGGGCTCGGGCAAACCTGAATTCAAATCCTATGTGACCCTGTGTAAGCCTTTTCCCTTGGTTTTCTCATCCGTACACTGGGAATTACAAGGAGGTTCTGCGTCGTCATTGTTGTAAAGATCATATTAAGTGAGATAAGTGCGTTAAAAGTGCTTAACACAGTTTTAGTTCAACCGGCCAGTAATGCAAATATAACTTTCTCTCCACACTTACACCTTTTTCTTTTTCTTGTTGCATTACACTGGGGCACTCCTTTCCAGCATTTACTGTGCTTCCCCAAAAAATGTAGAAGCCATTAAGACTCCTTTTAAAGTGCTTGTGCTGTGGACCTCATCCACTCTCGCCTTCTCAGGAAAGTTGTACTATTGATTTTCCCCTTCCTCTTCTGCATTTTCTCAGCCTTTTCTTCACTACTCTTTGTCATCAGCATTTAAATGTGCTCATGTCTCTCTCTGATGCTTAGAAAGGTTTCACCCGATTCTCTAATCACTCTCCAGCCTTCTCTCTCTTCCCTTCACAAACTTCTTTCAGCTGCCTACACGTTGTCTTTCTCACATCCCACTCTCTCTTCACCCCACTGATATATTACATTGAACCTTTGGAAGCTGCCGGTATTATAGATTCCGCCCCCAACATGTCACCAAATCTGTTCAGTTAGGTCCCCCGTGACCTCTCTATATATTTATCCAAAGGACACTTTAGTGTTTAACTTATTTAATTTGAAATATCAGCAGCATCCAGCAAAGCTGGGCTCTTCCTTCCGCTTCATTACTACATAATCCTAGGTTTCCTTCAACTTCGCTGGTCATTTCTTCTTTGTGTTGTCTAAGTGAATGGTTCTTCCAAGAGTGGCCCTTTGGAATGATCTGGCACTTTTTTAAAATCTCTCTGGATGGATCTCTTCCAATATTAAGTTCCAGTTGTACTGGACGGCTTTCTCTTTTAAATATTGATTTAAGTTCCAGTTTTGCTAGACTGCTTTCATCTCCACGAATGTACCTCTGAACATGTTTGGAATACATGCCGTGAGGGCCGGGACCTAATTCCTTACTGCCTACACAATGTCCGGCACATAGTAGATGCTTAATAAATATTTCTTGAGTCACCATGAATGAATGGCTGCTACATGAAAGCAGATTGAGAGTGATGACACCAAGAGGGAACAACAAAAAACCCCTCATCTTTCTGAAACCATACCTCGATCAAACATACACAATACACGCACGGACCGCTTAAAATCCTCCGATGGCTCCCCAGTGCCCCCAAGATAAAGTCCAAACTCCTCAAAACTTGCAGGGAGCTACAAGGGAAGTCTTTCAGAAGGGGCACCTCTTATCTCTCAGATATCATTTAGCCAGACCTCTTCCACTTCTCAGAATATGGCTCTAGCCAGCCTGCGAAATGCCAGCAAATTCCCAGGAAGCCTGCACTCTCCCCCCAGCGCTTTGCACACAGTGCTCTCTCTGCCTAGATTCTAGAACATTGTGCACTCATCAGCCTCATCTTATGACCAAGACAAAGGCAGATTCTATCTCATTTTGGAAGTCATCCCCTTTTGGAACCGCTCTTTAACCATCCACCTCAACCTCATCTCCTGAAATCTGGGTTAACTGCCCTTCTCTGTGTATTCATAGTTCCCAGTATGTCCAAAATCATAGCGTGAATCACAACAAATTCCTAATTATGCCATAAAACCGTGGCATTCCCTGAGGACAAGATGTCTCACTCACTCTTCTACCTACGACAATCAGCCCAGGCCCTGACACACAAACATGCATAACGTCGGACCTCCTTGTTAGTACAAGTCTACCTTCGCGATATTACAAACTGGGTTCTAGATCACAACAATAAAGAAAGTATTGCAACAAAGCCAGTGGTGGTCTTTTTGTTGATGGAGGGTCTTGCTTTTAGTAATTTGTAAGAAGTGCAGCACCTGTGGCGTGCAATAAAGCTAGGCGCAATTAAACGAAATATACCTGTAGTAGCAGTAATAAAAGCTCCCAAGTACTGAGGACTTACATGCAAGGGTTTTAAATATAAATTTACTTTGTAATAACCTTGTAAGACAAGTGCTATCATTATCCCCATTTGGCAGACGGGAAAACTGATACACAAATAAGTCTATCCTCTCTGGCCCCACAAGAGTCACACAGGACAGAAAAGACGTTTTCTGCAGTTTTGAGTTATTCTCCGGCCCCTCAATAAGAAGGGCTTTTCTGTTTTTAAAAGAACTTTCGGATCAGGCCCAGCAATAGCCCGCAAATACAATGAATAGCCCAACACACTCCAAGCCAAGCCAGGGTTAAGGGGCACGTGGGGGCGCCGCCCCGGCGCAGCTGCGGGCATAATGCTCCGGCCGCCGTCTCCTTCCCGGTGGTCCCCCGTTGCCCAGCCCCTCCTCCGCGGCAAAGAGTCGACACCGGGGTGGCATGTTTGGCCGTGACTGCCCACTCTGTCCCTGCTCACCTGCCCACCTGCCGACCTGCCGTCCTGCCGTCCCGCGGCCTCGCCGAGCTCCGGCCGTCGGTCCGCAGCGCCTCCCACGGGCTGCTCTGCGTCCGCAGCGCGCGCGGAGCCCGTTTCCTTGGCGACCGGAGCGGCTGATCTCCCGCGGCTCCTGCTACGGCGGCCCGGAGGGGATCGGGAGCATTCGCCGATCCTTCCGCTGCCGCGGAACGGGCGACGGACGGAAAGCGGCTGGGAGTCGGGACGCGGTGAGGGGCTCGCGACGGGCCTGGCGTCCTGGAACTTGGCCCCGAGGAAAGGGAGAGGAAGGGAATGCTGGGGGAAGGGGTACAACAAGGCCGGGGGAGGGCTCGAGCTCGGATCCTGCCTCTACCTCGATTCCTCTCGCTGTATCGTCTGAGGGAGACCTTTCGGGGAGAGGACGGGGCCGCCGGCGGAAGCCTGCTGGACTGGGAATATTTAAAGGCGCGAAAACTGACGTGGGAGGGGTGGCAGATGCCTCTTTCTTTAATCCCCGGAGCGGTGATGTGGCAAAAAATAAATAAGCTTGTTTCTTTGGGCTCTGTTTCTTTGGGCTCAAGGTGACAATTAGATCACCACATTTAATTTCAATACGGGAAATAATTTAATTTGTGACCAGCAATTGTAATTCTTGGAATAATCCTGCAGATAACACGGGAACACCAGCCTAAAGAATATTCATTGCTCCTTTGTAAAAGTAAAAGGATTAAGAGCAGTCTAAAGGTCCATCACTAGGAGATTGAGTAAATAAATTATGGTGTATCCATACAACTGATTAAGAATGAAGAGAGACGTAGACACAATTTAGATGTAGATCTGTAAAAGGGGAAGAGGGATAGATAATACCTATACGGCTGGCCTACGCATCTGTGAACTCTGGGAAGAGATCTGGGAGGTAGGGGAGATTGATAATGCATTTTCACTGTATGTTATTTTATGTAGTACTTTAAAAAACCAAGTACATGCATTATCTTTTCAAACAATATATAGGAATGTAAGGGATCAGAATATGCCACCTCAAAATATGCCACTTTGTAAGGATTATTTTTGAGTTGAAGGCAGTTGAGAAGTAGATACACACAAAGATTCTGAGCCCTCACCCTATACATTTCTTTTCCCTTTGTTTAGGTGCCCTCCCACCCTACGGAAGGGCAGAAATTAATCACAGGAGACAACTCTAGACCCTTATCAGTGAGAGGAATCTACATAACAAATGTCACTAAAACAATATTATTTTAATCCACAGTCACTTCTGTCGTGTATCTGCTTCCCCACAGCCTGCCCCTCCCCCAAAGCCTAAACCCCTTTCCATTATCTTACCACTTTTCTACAAATTTAAAATTGACCAGCCTTGGTCAATTCGTATAAAAGGCTCAGTGTTTAGCCAGCCCAGTCACTGAACCTAAGAGATTAGAAGAAAAATGTCCTCCCTAGAGGGGAAAAAAGAAAAAAAAAAAACAAACCACGTAGTTCAGACAATCAACTGTAACTATGGGAGGGGCTGCTCCAGGCAGCTGTGAGCCCCACCTAGAAGACAGGGTGCTGAGGGGTTCTTGGCAGTAGGTGGAAAACTGGATGCCTGGATCCGGTAGAGGATCGCAAAGACATGCTTTCCCCCAACTTTGCCAGCTAGAGGAGGCACACGTAGACATTTAGGGTTAAACACGGAGATCAGCAGGGTCCCACATTTGGGAGGACTCCTGCTTGCAGGTCAGAAAATGAAAAACAGCTGCTGGCTTGACCCAATGTTCCTCACTGAACATAAACAATGCACAGAATGTAAACAAATAGTAGACAAGGCCACTCCGTAGTTGGAACAAAGAACAGACAGACGCTTCAACATTCTCTTGGCTAATAGGAGTGGGTCCCGCTTTTTCAATTCTGGCCCTGCTTTATTTAATTGTCCTACCTCCTGGATAAAAATTATAAAGATATGTAATCATCAAGTTGTCCCTGCTTCTTGACTGTCCAATTCAAAACAGTTCCCCACTTCCTTAGCCCTGCCCGCCCTTAGAGATGCCCAGCACAAACCCAAATCCTAAAATAAGCTCTTTCCAAGTCCCTCTTACCAAGATACCTCACAGTTACCCTGTTGTGCATTCTCCCTTGATGAACAAGCTAAATCAATCTCCTTTGTGATTACAGGGCTTTAAGAGCCACCGGGAAGGTTCAGGGGTCCTGAAGCAACTTGACAGGCAGGTATTGTGAGGGCAAGGTGTACCCTGGGGCAGGAATTAGAAAAGCTCGAGCAATTCTTCCTTTGCCATCAACCCTTTCTGTGGCCTTGGGCAAACCACTTAACACTGAGCCTTTGTCTTTTCTTTTATAAGAGGTTTTATTTATTTTTAGATGGAGGGCAAGGTAAGGGGAGCGAGAGAAACAGCCGTAGTGAGAGAGAAACAGCCGTTGGTAGCCTCTCGTTCCATCCCCTACTGGGACAAACCCACAACCCAGGCACGTGCCCTGACTGGAATCCAGCCGGTGACCTTTTGCTTTGTGGAGGACACCCAACCAATTCAGTCACACCGACCAGGGCAAGCTTTTCTCCATTTCTGTAAAAGAAGGGATCTGAGTATATTTCTAAGGCTTCTTCCAACCTAAATAGTATAGGATTCCACACTCTGCACGTTGTTATATTCTCAGGTGAATGTTCCCCTACATTAGTCATTTGTACAACATCGCCATCGTTGTCAGATCTACACACCATCTATACTGTTATGTATTTAAATAAATCATTTTCAGGTTGTTTTATTTAAATAGACTCTCAATTCTTACTTAGACATCTACAAAGGAAAATGTACCTCACTGCTTAAATGGAAAACCAGCATTGCCTGGTAGAAGTGGAAGAATTTTTGCAAACCCTAAGACAAAATAGTGTTTTTTAACTGCAGATGTGGTTACCTTTGGAGAGACTTGGAGAAGAAAGCCTTCATTCTATTAAAAAGGGAGAAAAGCAAATGTTAGAAAAATGTTAAATACATACTAGTCTCAAATAAACCTCCTCTTTGGTTTGAAACGGGACTGTTTACACAACAGGGCCTTTCAATGTTACTTAATGTCATGTTCATTTCGTTTACCCCGAATAATATAGAGAGCCCACAATTTAGGAAAGAATGCCCATTTTCCCCTGATTAACTTGACTCATCTTCCAGTTGTCAGATTAAATAGATATTCCACAGAACAGCCTTTGGGGCCTGCTCCTCCCCCCAATTAAATTGTTTCCCCTTACATAGTGGGCATTAAACTTTTATTGCAAGAATATTCCCTTATACTACCCCTTCATAGTACTTACACAATATGTCATGGTGCACTTATGTTCATGTCAGTCTCTTTTTAACTAGGCCATAAATTTTTGCACACTTCTGTACCCCAGATGATGATACATAATGGGCTCCCAGTGAATTCAAACGAGGTGAGTGAGAAACGGCTTCACCAACTCTTGCCACACCCACCGGTTTAGCCCCGCCTTCTCTCTCACCTCCCGGCCGGTTTATCTCCGCCTCCTCCCTTAGCGCGAAGGTGATTTAGTTCCTCCTCCTTCCTCTACCAATGACAGGTGTCTTCTGGGCCGCGGCGGAGGGCGGTAGGCGTGGCCACGCAATGACGCCAGCAGCGCGCTTCCGGCCTGAGAAACCGTCGCGCTTTTGAGGAGGCACTTCAACTGGCAGTTACCACCGCACTAGAAACCTCCCAATCGGCCACTTCTATCACCAGCGCCACCATGGGAGCTGTGCTGGGCGTTTGCTCCCTCGCCAGCTGGGTGAGTTTCGGGTCTGGTGTTTCCGTCGGACCTGTGGTTTGGCCGAGGGGTGGCGATAGTGAGCCCCAAGACCTAACCCGATCGGGCTTCGGCTGCGGGGGCCCGGGTGTTGGAGGGACGGGCCCTAGGCTGTAGAGAGTATCCACGGGCCCAGGCCGAAGTCCGCGTGCCCCACGATCGGGATGAGGCGGCGCACTTTCCGGGTTTGCTGAGGAACGCGGGAGGCCGGGAGGCCATTGTTTACAATTTCTGTTGCCCCGCCCCCGCGAGTCTTCCGGCCTCTGGGTTCACGCGGAGCTGGACTAGAACCAAGGAATGAGTTCCCGAGGCGGGAGCTCAGTTTCACTCCGAGGCACCTTCGTAAGGTGGCGTCATTTAATTTGGGTGGCTTGAATAATATTTTTATATGTAGCACAGGATTAGCCAAAGCTACAGAGTATGTGGCAGAGCTGTGATTTTAACCGAGGCCTGTCTGCAGTTTTGATGCAAGGGGAAGAAGGCCCTGTAAATTGTTTAGACTCGGAAGCCATGGTCTGAACTTGGGGACCTTGTACAAGTCATTTATCTCTTCCTGTAAGGCGAGGATTATCACCCCGGCGTTCCTTGCCTGGAGAGCTGTTGTGGGATAAAGTGAATAAATGGGTTGAATCACTTTGTCGACTGTAAATTCCATATTTTAAAGAGGAAATTTTAGGATCTGTGGAATAGAATATGTTGAGTTCCCTCATATATGCACTTCAGAGGAACATGGTTTCTTGAAATTATTTTCTCGTTTCCTAATTCCCCGACTGATTTCTTTGACAGAGGACTCAAATCTCAGCTCATTTCCCTACCATTTCTGAAGGACACAGTGTGTTTTCCAATTCTTAACGTTGCTCTTAAATCAAAAGGGCCACTTCCTTGAGAGAAGTGGCTTTCTCATTTTTTTGACCTTCACCCATAGTAAGAAATAATTTTTACGTAGTTAATACCTCCATTTAGATACAAGTTTCATGAAACAATTTTTAACCTTTACCATCTGCTGTACAATTTTTCTGCCACATTAAAAAAAAAAACCCTAGTCAGTTGATTTTTAGAATCCACCAGTGGATCAAGCTCACTATTTACAAAATAGATATAGAAAGTTATACCTAAGAGGGTCATTATTCTGGCTGGGCAGCTCAGTTGTTTCGAGTGTCATCCAGGCTTACAAGTTTGGGGGTTTGATCCTGGGTGAGGGGTCAGTAATCAACCAGTGAATGCATAAATAAGTGGAACAACAAATAGATGTTTCTTTCTCCTTTCCTCTCTAAAATGAATTTTTAAAAAAAGATCGCTAAGGAGTGAATTGGCAATTTGAAAGAAAGATGCCCTTCTCAATAACCTGAAACACATTTTGGCTTTTATGAAAAGCTAAGCTTTGAATTGATGCCATCAAAGCTTTTCTATCTATAAATGATTTTAATGTTTTATGAATCCCATGTGTTTAATAGGACCAGCAAGGAGTTCAGGGTACCGGAGAAGGGAACGAGTGAGGGGAAGAATGATAGGAAATGAAGTCAGAAAGCAGCAGCGAGCCAAATCATGTGGATACCCATTGTACGGTCTTGTAGGCCAATTTAAGGGCTTTGGCTTTCACTCTTAGGAGATGTTGGGATCCAGAAAAGAGGAATGATATGACCTGATTGTGTTCTAACAAGGTTGCTGTGTGAAAAATAGATGGTAGAAGAGAATGGGTAAAGCGGTGTAGGGGAAGAAACACTTTTCTTCCACGCTCTGTTAGTAGTTAGCGGCCTGTACATTAAACTTACAAAAGATTATCCAGAGAAGAGTTTATGTATGAGTGCAACACACACACACACACACACACACACAGGCGTGCTCAGTGATGAACAACTCAAAGGGGTGGTTAGCATATAAAGCTTATATTCTTAATAGGGGAAAATGAGGTGGGAGAAAAGGGCTTCTATGGGAGGGACAAATAAGTTTCATTAGGAAAGACAGATGGGTTCTTAGAGAACAAACAGGAGATAAGAATGTGATAATAACTTGTTTGTGTAGATGCAGAGGTCTTTTTGTCTTTGTTGGCCATAAAACTCCCATGGAGAGAGAACTTCTGGCCAGTCTCACTTCCCCAAAGTTGCTGCTTTTAGTCAGATGAGGAAAGCTCTCAGAAGCCTTTTTTCTGCATATGTTCCGAATCTCGGATGTTTTCATCTGAAAACACTCTTTATACTAGCTACGGGTTCTGAATGGGTCGCCACAGCAGTGAGACAGGAGCTATTGCTTGAATCCACATGAGAGACAATATTAGTGGCTTAGACTAATGATAGCTAAGGAGGCTGTGAAAGTGGTCAGACTCTGGGTATATTCTCCAGAGCTGATGTGCTGACAGATTGGATGAGGGTTTTGTAAAAAGAGAAGGCATCAAGGATGACTCCAAGGCTCTTGGACTGAGTAACCGGAAGAATAGAGTTGTCATTTAGAGATAGGGAAGTGACATAACATGTAGTAGGATAGGTTTGTTCCGCAGATCAAGTACCTTTACATCGTAGGTACTGATTTGTTTTTATGGCTGAATAATATTCCATTGTGTAGATATTCCACATTTTACTTACCCGTTCATCAGTTGATAGACATTTGCGTTATTTTGCCTTTTGCCAGTTGTGAGTAGTGTTGCTTTGAGCATTCATGTACAAGCTTTTGTTTGAATACCCATTTCAGTTCTTTTGGGTGGTGGTTAGAAGTGGAATTACTGGGTCATATGGTAATTCAGTGTTTAACTTTTTGAGGACTCTCCAGCTTACCCTTGCTCTTGCTATAATGTAATGTGTTTCATACTGTAATATCAGACTTGGTGACCAAGATTCTCAGTAAATAGCAAGTGCAGTTAGGTTTGTATGTTTCTCAATATTAAGATATATTGTTTTTATTATTTTTATGTGAATATTTATCTAGAAGAGTTAAAAGAAAGCACTGAAAAATACAAATTTTGAATTGTTGACAAATGCCAAACATCACAGAAACTTTTTAAATGATATAACACTTATATTAATTAACTTCTATACCTTTTCCTTTATTGTTTTGCTCACTTCTTTATTCAACAATTTTGTGACATCATTTTCTTTAGAGAAAGGGAAAGCAGTCTTCCCTGTAGCCTGCTTGATTGAGACTTTTAAAAATTATGAATAGTTAACAATAGTTAATTATTGATAGTTTCTTTCCATCTTACAAATCTTCATTGACAATGCCTTGTAGAACTTTAGGATTGTTAGCAGATCTGGGAAAACCTCTGATTTGGTTACTATAGCCATGCAACAGACAACCCAGCTTAATGACAGAGTACAGCAACTGCTTTATTAGGCTCGTAGATTCTGTCGGTCAGAAATTCCGACAGGGCACAGGATGGGGTAACTCAACAGCTGGGCTGGGATCACCTGGAGGCTCGTTCATCCCCACATGCGGACCTGGGCTGCTAGGACGTGGAGGGGAGGCTTGCCAGCTGGGGCCCTGCCTCGGGGCCTCTCCATGGGGAGGGGCTCCCTCAATGCACAGGGACCTCGGGGGACCTGGAGGTCTCCCGTGGTGGCTCCCAGCAGGAGAAACTGCAGTACCTTTCATGACCTAAACTCAGAGCCAAGCCGTGTTAACTTCCTCACATCCTGTTGAGGATATATTGTTTTTAAATTCAACATGGTCCCTGTGTGAAAGTAAGTAAAGTTTATGGGGCTTTTAATACGTTTTAGGCACTGTGTTGAGTGCTTATTTAATACAGTAGTGTTTGAGGGAGGAAGAATCTGTTACTGAGTCCGTTTTACTGATGGAGAAAAGGGTTTGCTGAGATAAAGTCGCAGAAATAATATCGAGTCCAGAACCCTGCTTTTAACCACTTCCTCCCAGCTGTAATTCTCTGTTAAAACTGTCAAAGCCTTGTTTGCTTAGTCTCCTGTTCTGCAGCACTTTCATGAAAAGTCCACCGAAGGGTCTCAGATGGCCATGTGTGCTTATTGCAGGTCCCATGCCTCTGTGGTGGTGCATCATGTCTGCTGTGCAGTTGCTGTCCCAACAGTGAGAATTCCACAGTGACTCGCCTCATCTACGCTTTTATTCTCTTCCTGGGTGCCGTTGTATCCTGTACTATGCTGACCGAACCGATAGAAAGGCAGCTGAAGAAGGTGAAGGAGAAGTAACAGAACGCTTAATGTACTGATTATTGTTGTATTTTGCAAAATTTTACTTGACATTGATGTTCTTTCTTTCTTCTTCACTGTTATGTAAATAAGTCACATTCATTGTAATTTAGGGGTATATTCAAGGCACAATATGAAGGTATTAGTCCTTTTCCAGAAATAAAGGAAATCAATGTGAACATCTTCGGGTTCTAGTCTGACAATGGGAGAAAAACAGATAAGAGAAGAGTGGCCCTAAAACATTTTCTTTCCATGTATGTTTAAGAATTAAACTGAACTAGGCCATCGCCTTTGGAAGGAGTGAGTTGTAGCCTGACAGTTAATGGGAAACGGGAGATAACCTCATCAGTAGAAAAGATCAAAGAAGAGAGCACTTAACTTTTATTTCCAAAATGCAAGTTAATTTATACTATTTGGTGACAAGAGTGTAAATGAATTGGAAGACAAAGAGAAAAATCCCACAGAATAGTCTTAAAGTTGTTGAAGTAGTAGTTTTATAAATCAAGGCTTTCCTATGGTGGGGTAGAATCTCTGTTTAAATGTGGGTGTTCTGTAACACTGAAACTCTGTTTTCCAGATTCCTGGATTCTGTGAAGGAGAATTTAATTTCAAGGTGGCTGATCTAAAGGCAGATAAAGATTGTGATGTGCAGGTCGGCTTTAAAGCTGTGTATCGGATCAGCTTTGCCTTGGCCATCTTTTTCTTTGCCTTTTCTCTGCTCATGATAAAAGTAAAAACGAGTAAAGATCCCAGAGCAGCAATACACAATGGGTATGTAAGACTCATTTATTATTAACTTGTTATATTATGGTGCAGAGCCCCCATTCAGCAGTTGATGTTGCCATTCCAGTAGAAGCCGTAGAGTGTGTGAATCCGCGGCCCCTGCGCACCTCCGACTGTTGGACGTGTCAGGGTGTTTCAGTGTCGTTTTCAGTTGGATGCCTGTAGCGTAGAGGAGATAGAGGGGCTGAGAGTCTTCTTATTATTTTAGTATCTTTTTTCTTGTTCCTAGATATTTATTGAACATCTATGAAACAGTTTGAGCACTGCGTTAGGAACCACTTTTTTCTTTTCTAATGTTAAAAGATAAGCATGGGCATGATACATTTAAACTATACAGAAAAATAAACCGCATGTATTTGGGCCACTGATTTACATATTCTGTTGCTTCCCATTCCTGGCCCAAGTTCCCCTGATTCTCATTTGAAGACTGAGGGAGTTTTCTGAACTTTATGTATGTTATAAGCACCTTTTTACAGATGCAATAACTAAATTTCAGAGAGGTTACATAAATTGCTTGAGGTCTCTCAGCCAGGGAGGGTTGGAGCTGGGGTTGAAACTCATGTCTGTCCAGATCCAAAGTCTGATTCTTTTCGCTCTGCCATACAAGGAGTCTTTAAAGATTGTGAACTAAAAGCCAGGTTTGGTCTTGGCTTTGCCAGTGATGAGTTGTGTAATTGTGAGCAAGACACTTACATCCTATGTTGTAAAAGAAGGGTTGGTGAAGACTTTTCCGCTGACCTGGGAGTTAATTCCTCTATACCTAGGTAACATTGTCAGTTTAGAACACTTCAGAATCCTAGAAAAATTCCCATCTTTAAGTGCTAAAAGTAGGGAAACTCTAAAAATACATGTTCCTCTTAATATGAATGTAAATGATCCGTTCTCTGTGCTGTTTGTTCTTAAAATTGTGTAAAATATTGAGTGAAGTAGCTTCATGTCAAATAAAGATCCAAGCCCAGACAGTTATGCTGAAAATGCTATTAAGGCTTATTTTTGCATTTTATAAATTCATTTCCTTAGTGTAAGGGTGAAAATTACCATTTCATAAATGCATTTTTTATATTTTCATAGGTTTTGGTTCTTCAAAATTGCTGCCATTGTTGGTATCATGGTTGGATCTTTCTACATCCCTGGGGGCCATTTCACCACAGGTATGGCTCACTATTAAGGGGGGTTGATTATAATATGTACAGACTCTACAAATAATTGAGTTAAAGCTGTGTGTGTGTGTGTGTGTGTGTGTGTGTGTGTGTGTGTGTTTATTGTTCAAACACTTTTGTCTCCATTTTCCTGCCACCACTCTCCCCTGTCCCAAACCCTCCCTCCTCCCACCCTCAGTCCTTCCCCACTTTGGCTTTGTTCATGGGTCCTTTATACATGTTCCTGGATTTGACCCTTCCCCTTTTCCCTGTTACCCTCCTCCCTCCTTCCCTCTCGTTACTGTCGGTTTGTTTCTTTCAGTGTCACTGGTTATATTTTTCTTGCTTGCTTGGTTTGTCAATTAGGTTCCACTTATAGGTGAGGTCATGTGGTATTTGTCTTTCACCCCCGATGTATGTCACTTAGCATAATGCCCTCCAGTTCCATCCATGCTGTTGCAAATGGTAGTAGCTCTTTCTTTCTTTCTGCTGCATAGTATTCCATTGTGTAAATGTACCATAGTTTTTTGACCCACTCATTTATTGATGGGAATTTAGGTTGCTTCCAGCACTTAGCTATTAGAAATTGTGCTGCTCTGATATTGGGATAGATAGGTTCTTTTAAATTGGTGTTTTGGGGTTCTTAGGGTATAATCCTAGCAGTGGAATCTCTGGGTCAAAAGGCAGTTCCATTTTTAGCCTTTGGAGGAATTCCAAACTGTTTTCCACAGTGGCTGCACCAGTCTGCATTCCCACAACCTCACCAGCACTTGTTGTTCATTGATTTCTTTACGATGGCCATTCTGACTGGTGTGAAGTGGTATCTCATTGTGGTTTAAATTTGCGTTTCTCTTATGGCTAGTGATGCTGAACATCTATTCATCTGTCTCTGGGCCCTGTGGAGAAGTGTCTCCTTGGAGAAGTGTCTGTTTAGGTCCTTTGTCCATTTTTTAATTGGATTGTTTGTCTTCCTGGAGTGGAGTGGTGTGAGTTCTTTATATATTTTGGAGATCAAACCCTTGTCCAAGGTATCATTCGCAAATATATTTTCCCATATAGTTGGTTCCCTTTTCATTTTGCTGGTGTTTTCTTTAGCCGTACAGAAACTTCTTATTTCGATGAAGTCCCCTTTGTTTATTCTTTCCTTTATGTCCCTTGCTCTAGGGGACATATTGGTGAAAATATTGCTGCATGGAATACCTGAGAGTTTCCTCCTATGTTCTCCTCTAGGACTTTTATGGTGTTGTGACTTATAATTAATTCTTCATCTTGAGTTTATTTTTGTGTATGGTGTAAGTTGGTGGTTGAATATGTTTTTTTTACTCAATTTGCAGAACTGACAAAGGAGGTGGTGTCCAATTACATGACTTGGTACTACTATTAAAATATTAATTGATTAAAGCCAGGAGGCATTCAGGTCACTTCTGAGCTGTTCTGGAACCACATTTAGTTGGTGCCAACACAACTATTTTAATAATTTATCTTCTTACTTGGCAGTACTAAGCTGATTGGAGTGCTTGTCAACATAAGGACTTGTAACTCATTTGCTCTACCATCCCTGTCTGTGTGGGTATGTGTGTGGTTTTTTTTTTTCCAAGAGAGGGGAAAGGAGGGAGAAAGAGAGGGAGAGAAACATTGATGTGAGAGAGAAACATCGATTGCTTGCTTCTCATATGCGCCTGAAGGCCAAACCTGCAATCTAGGCATGTGCCTTGAGTGGGAATTGAACTGGTGCCCTTTTGCTTTGTGGGATGACACCCAACTGAGCCACACCGGTCAGGGCTCTACCATCCCTGACTTAACCTGCTTCCTTATCATAGTATCAAGTGACTTACATGGATTTCCACTGTGTTCCTCCCTCTAAAGGAAAAGGCTTAGAATAGTATTTGGGATGTCAGATCCTAGGCTCCCCTTGGCACAAGCTAGAACAAGTTCTAAAAGGTCTGAAATCCAACCAAACACTTCTCAGAGAATTAACTTTGAGTTTGGAATCAGAGTAATCCTGCCTTACTGCTGGAGGTAGAATATGTCTTTACCACCTCTCTTACTTGAATTGAAATCTTTTTAGAATGTTAGTTAACATTCTGAAATGTTACTTCTACGGTAAAGAATAACTTTGTTCTTTTGGTTTGTAGCCTGGTTTGTTATTGGCATGATTGGAGCCTTCTTATTCATCCTTATCCAACTGGTGCTGTTGGTGGACTTGGCTCACTCTTTGAATGAATCATGGGTAAATCGAATGGAAGAAGGAAACCCAAGGCTCTGGTATGCTGGTAGGTATCTAAACTCACCCATAGGAGCCATTCTGCAGTGTTTGACATTAAACAGGAAGTGCAAGAAAAATCTTTATTGATTTAAATGTATAAACTTCCAAGGTTGAGCTGACTTTTTCAAAACTAATATCCCATTGAGTTAATTCTGAATTATATGCATTACTGGAAGGGAGTAACACAGATAATATACCATTGAATTTTCCTAATTCATTTATTTTGAGATTTGTGATATAACTACATGTGTTCAGATAAGGAAAAAAGTTGTATTTACGACATAGTTCTGGTTTTGATTCCCTTGTCTCTCGGGACAAGGGGACTCAGATGCATTCTGCATGAGGGACATCTGTCAACATAGGCAGAAGGAGATGAACGGTTCTTTACGCTTTTTTCAGAGTGTGACCACACACCTCTTGTAAAATTTTTTGGGTGGGAAGTTTTTAGGTTTGAAACAGGACTTAAAGCCTGTGATAACTAGAAGGGGCTTTGGAGCCCTCTACTTACAGGGAGCAATGACCCAGCCATACTTTAGTTTTAATAGTTAAAATAGTGGTTAAGAGTCCTTGCCCTGACTCCCTCCCTCCCCTCCCCCAATTATAAAATAATAGATGCTCCATGTCAAGAAGTTGAAAACCAAAAATCACAAAAGAAAAAAATTCCCCCATAATCTAACTCCCCAGGAATTACTCACTGTTAACATATTAGTCTAAATCCTTCTAGTCTTTTTTTCCTATACATACATATGTACCTTCTATGTATAAAAAAGTCATTGAAAAATGTGAATATGTTTGTGTCTTACTTATTTTTAAATATATATTTGAATAGTTTATGGTTTGACCTTTTTTAAAACTTAGAGACAGCTTGTGAGTGTTTGGCTACAGTACAGTAATAAATACCGGATAACATATCTATTGAGTACATTTCTGATTGTTTCCTTAGAATAAATCCCCAGAAGAAGAGTCAAAGGGTGTGGATATTTTAAATGCTCGGTACACGTTATCAAATTGTCCAGTTGTCTTTTCATATTATTTATTTAGAGTGCCTCTCTTTAAATTGAAAAAGAAAAAAAATTAGTACCACTTTTACCATAAATTACAAATGGTAGAATTTTATAAAGAATAAAACATGTAAATTTACCAACCTGCAACAACCCAGTTTTCTCTCCATATGTAACCATGGTTACTGGACCTTTATGTATTTGTGCTCGTCTACTTGTTTTTATATTTAAATGTAAATAAGTTTATATTATATGTTGTTCCATGACTTGCTCTTTCATTTACTGTGTGATGAATATCCTTCCCTCTCAGTGAACATAGGTCTGTCTCACTTATTTAACAGTTGCATGGTATTCCAGCCGGTGCAATTCCTTGATGTCCCATATCATGGTATACCATAATTTATTTAACCACTGCCCTGTGGTCACTTAAATTGTTTGTAATGACTGTTTATTGCAGAAAAATATTTTTAAAATTATCTATTGCCATTATGGGCTGGGAATCCTGAAACTCTCTAATAAAATTTTACTTCATTTTTTACCTTTTTACTTCTGTTTTGTATAATTAATTTTGGATCATTCCAACTCTAGAAGAATTTAATAATGATTTATAGGTTTGCCATACTTTGGAGTAACTAAAAGTAAAAGAGATCTTGTATGTTCAGATGGAAAACATTAGGAACTGTGCTAGTAACTTAATGTACATCTTCATTTTATGGTACCATCATATACATCATTTAAACACGCAAAATCCATTGAGATTGAGATAAGCAGAAACTAGTTTTCTTAAGTAAGTTTGTGCTTTGAATTAAACACAGTTGGTATGATATACTGCATACTGTTCTCTGTCACTCAGAGCTAATTGTTTATTATTCATGTGAAAAAACATTACTTTAGATATTTGAAAGCCAATAAGCCACTTTCCCACAGTGCTGTGGTCTCACTGTGATAGGAAATGGGTTTATGTAGCCAGTGGCTACAGAGGAAAAACGGCCATAAAAGATGCCTGCCTATTCTGTTTCCTGCTAACGCCATCCCTGGCCTTCAGCTTGCTAGAAACTGGGCCAGTTTGAGGGTCAAAGAGTCGTTGAGGTTCCTAAGAAAAGCTAATAATGGACAATATTTAGCATGTACTTAGAATTTACTCTGGCTAGAATGATCAGAAGTCTGGTTTTTTGACCCATGAAACCAAGTTAGGTAATCCAGGAAGTGAATTCAGTTGTTGGTAGGTTTTGTAATTTAACATTGAGCCAACTTGAACACAGTCTGAAACTTCAACCTTGGGGCTTCCATCATTTCACTACAAATTAGGAACCACCATAAAAGTGAAATAATGTCTCTTTATTTTTAAATCGAGTAGAAGAACATTGGTCTTCCTTATAAAAGTTTGTTAGACTTGTAGGCATTCATACTGGTTTCCCTTTTTTATCCTTATTTTCTTCAGTGTTACTGTCTGTCACAAGCATCCTGTATATCTTCTCAATCATCTGTTTCGGTTTGCTCTATGCGTACTACACCAAACCAGATGGCTGCACAGAAAACAAGTTCTTCATCAGCATTAATCTAATCTTTTGCGTTATCGTCTCTATTATATCAATCCTTCCAAAAATTCAGGTATGGTTGTTTTCTGCTTCTTCCAGTGAGATTTTAAATTAATGCTGTACTTGAAACCTAGGTAACCTTTTATACGAATTTATGTCCAAGTTCTACTCCATTTAAACATTTCTTCATGTTATGATAAAGTCGTCATAATTGTAACATAGTATCTATACAATGTGCCATTGAGTTGCTTGTATTATAATTAAATAATTTCCCTATCATTTAAGAAAACCTACATAACCTGAGAATTTATAATTTTTATTAGATTGTTTACATTGTAAGAGTGATTCTTACGAATCATTAGAGAAAATATTTTAGGGGAATTAAAGTAGGGAAAAATAGAATTAATTTTTGTGGCTCAGTTAGTTGGAGTGCTGCCCTGTACGCCAAAAGGTTGGGGGTTTGGTCTCCATTCAGGGCGCCTGCCTAGGTCGTGGTTTGATTGATGTTTCCCTCTCTCTCCTCCTCCCTTCTTCTCTCTTTAAAATCAATAAAGCATATTCTTGGGTGAGGATTAAAAAAACAAAAAGTAAAACTGATGCTTCTGAGTTTTATCACTTAAATGCCATACTTTAAAAAATTCATCAAGTTTTATATATGAAATATGAAAGAACATCTAGACATCACCTCTCCTTGTAAAAGTGAGAAAAGGGGACGTTCCAGAGAGATGATATGTCACCTTGCCTCACTAGCGGCAAAGCTGAGTTTAGATTCCACTACACTAAGAGACTAGTAAATCGAATCCTTTGTGTGATATACAGGAATTTACAGGATTAGGAAATGCCTTGAGAATCAATAGTACATGCTTTTTCTTTCTTAGTTCCTTTTCGAGCTAACTGAAACTGAAAGGTTACTTGGCATCTTTCAACCGTCAAGGAGAATCAGAAGGTTCTCAGTTAATAACTATTGAGTGGGGCTCCGGGAAGCACACCGGATTTTAGAAAGTCAGCCCTTGTAATTCCTGTGGCATTGTTTTCTTCTTGATTCCGTAGGAACACCAGCCTCGTTCTGGTCTCCTGCAGTCCTCTGTTATCACCGTTTACACCATGTACCTCACGTGGTCCGCCATGACCAACGAGCCTGGTAAGGGAATGGCAATGGCACATTCATTTGATGAAAATAAAGTAGGAAATTACCCCTTTGGTGGAGTAAACACTAGAGCCGGAGCAGATGCCAAACAAACAAGTGAACAAACAAACTTTACTGAAATATGTAATGGTCACTGTTTGCAGATACTTACCTTTCACATTTTATTCTCTATGTCTAGTCATAGCTACTCTTAGCTGACGGGCGGTCCCCTACCGCTTTTTCACCAGGGACCAGTTTTGTGGAAGACAGTTTTTCCACAGATCAGGGCGGCGGGGATGGTTTCGGGATGATTCAGGCACGTTACATTCAAGTTCGCCTCCTGCTGTGCAGCCCAGTTCCTAAGAGGTACAGGCTGGTACCGGTCTGAGGCCCAGAGGTTGGGAGCCCCTTATTAGGGAACCGCACACACAGTCCTTTATGTTAGTCTAGGCTTTTCCCTGGACTAAGTCAAACGAGTTAAGAGCTAGACAAGACAACATTGTTTTGGCCTTTTGGAGAATTGTTTTAATTGAATTTTACTTTGTTGTTCCAGGCTCTAGAGCCTGTAGGTATAGGAAATGTCCTTCTGTAGTTATTGTAGGATTGTTTCTCAATAGGGTGTTCTGTGGAGTCCTTGTAAAGGAAAACAATTATTGCAAACCCTTCAATGATGACTCCACTTACAATATTCACGTTAAAGTGTATAACAACAAAACTAGGGATAAACGCCTTGTTGCTTAAAGCCTCTGCACAATTGTAGAACTAAGAAGATGTATCAGTTAAACTTCAAAACCAGTAAAATCAAGATTGACATTTATGAAATCTGACAAAATGTTGTTTCTTTTTTTTTCTAAAACTAAGTCATTGATTGCAACACAAATAAGTTACTGACTGCCGATTTCAGTGTTCCCATGTGTCATGACTGAATGTGTTACCACATCCCTCAAATCCTTTCTTGGAACAAGATGAGTTATAATTAAGGATAACAAAATATTTCCCATTTCAGATCGTTCCTGCAACACAGGTCTGTTGAGCATCATTACACACATGACCGCACCCACCTTGGCTCCTGGAAATACAACTGCTGCAGTCCCTACCTCTGCGCCACCATCACAGAGTGGGCATTTTCTGGATAAACATACATTTGGGGGGCTGATAATCTCTGTTATCTGCCTTTTGTATTCTAGGTAAGTTTAAAAAATACTTAGAACAAGATTCCCGCAAAGGTTAAAACTAGATTGAAGCAGCTATTTTGCTTTCAAAAAGCAGGGTAAGGAAGAATTTTAAAAAACCGCCTAACTTGCCCTGGCTGAGTTGCTTAGTGATTGGAGCATCATCTCGTGCACTAGAAAGGTTGCGGGTTCAAGTCCCAGTCAGGACACATACAGGAGGCAACTGATTGATGTTTCTCTCTCTGACTGGGTCTCTTTCTTTTCCTCCCCGCTACCCCTGATCCCCCTTCCTCTCTCTCTAAAATCAGTGAACATACCCTTGGGTGAAGATTTAAAAAAAAAAGGATAGAAAGAAAACGGCCTAACTCTTCTTTATTAAAAGTTCTTGACTTGCCTCAGTACCCATGTACACTTCTGCAAGTTCATTAAATTCTCTCATCAAATAATCCCTCCCAACCTTACAGAGAAATAGCTTCTCGTTTGTATACAAGGAGCAAACTCCACAGTTGACCTAGATGGGCTAGAACAGTGGTTCTGAAAATTAGTTGTCTTATTTTCTTTTTTTTAAAGGAAAAAAGTTTCCTGATTATTGTGAATAATTAAAGAACTACAGAATTATACATACCTAATGTTAAAGGCTCTAGTAAATCCATGATCCCAGATACAACCTGTGTTAGCTGTTTGCACTTATTCTCCCACCCATTTTTATTGGTGTTTTCTATATAATAGCATATATTACTTTAATTATTTCAAAATATGTAATAGTAAAAATGGATAAGGATATATTCATATAAATTAATACTATGAGAAAAGTATGAGGTAGAAAATGAAAGTGTCCTTCCTCCAAATTTACCTCTTCCATGGTTAACATTTAATACATATTATTTCAGGCTTTTTTCCTTTGCATGTACTTACTGTCAACCTATCTGTATCTATATAATTATATATAATTTTATGTATAGCTAAATATACAATTTTATTTATATCACTCTCTATAATTTTTTAAAATAAATTATGAACATGTTACATAAATATACAAACTATTCTGAAATTATGAATTTGTCATTATAACCTGGACAGCTTTCCATAATATTATGTGTAAATTTATGTTTTTTTAATGAATGCTTTAAATGGGGGTTGGCAAACTACAGCACTAGGCTGTCTGCCTATTTTTGTAAATAGTTTTATGGGAACGCAGCTATGCTCATTTCTTTTCATATTGTCTGTGACTATTTTTGTTTTGCTTTTGGCCATTCTTTTTTTTTGAGGTATAAATCACCTACCACAGAATTCACCCTTTAAAAATGTGAATTTTTAAAAATGCAGAAGTTTTTTAGTATATTCTCAGGGTTGTACAGTCAATTTGAACATTTTATTTACTCAAAAAAAAAACCCCTATGGTCATTAGCCCCATTACCCCGGCAGACAGTACTCTTTCCATCCCTAGATTTGCTTATTCAGGTGTTTCATATACATGGAAGACTATACTATATGGTCTTTTGAGACTGGCTTCTTTTACTTAATGGTTTCAAGGTTCAACCATGTTGTACACATGTGTTTCGTTCCTTTCTGTTGTTGGAAATAATACGCGGTTGTGTGGATACACCGCATTTTGTTTATCCATTCATCAGCTGATGGACATTCGGGTGTTTCGCTGTGGGGTTATCATGAATAATGTTGCTATGAATATTTGTGTGCAAATTTTTTGTGTGAGTATAAGTTTTCAGTTCTCTTGGGTGTATATACCTATGCGTAGAATTGTTGGATTATATGGCACTGATATGTTTACCTTTTTGAGGAACTGCCAAAGCATTTTCCAAAATGGCTACATCATGTTACAATCCCACCAGCAATGTTATGATGATTCTAACTGCATTACCCCCTAATCATTACACTATGTCTTTTTGATTGTAGCCAATCTAGAGAGTGTGAAGCTGCATTTCATTATGGTTTTGCTTTACACTTTCCTGGTGACTAATGATGTCGAACATTTTTTTCATGTGCTTATTGGCCATTTTTATATCTTCTTGAAGAAATGTCTATTTAAATCTTTTGCCTATTTTTAAATTAGGTTGTGTTTTTATTGTTTTTTTATATGGTTTGCGATACAAGGCCCAACTTCATTCTGTTGTATGTGGATATCCAGTTGTCCCAGCACCATTTTCTGAAAAGACTATTCTTTCCCCATTGACTTGTCCTGGCATCCTTGTCAAAAATCAGGTGACCATGAATGTAATGGTTTATTTCTAGACTTATAATTCTACTTCATTGATATATATCTTAATCTTTATATGTCAGTACCACATTTTTATTGCTTTGTGGTAAGTTTTGAAATTGAGAAGTGTAAGTCATCCAGATTTGTTCTTTTTCAAGATTGTTTTGGCTGTTCCGAGTCCCTTGCACTTCCATGTAAATTTTAGGTTTTACATGTCAATTTACAGCCTTTAGGTTTAGCTTGTAAGTTTCTGCCAAAAAAATAAAATAAACAAGGTAATTGAGATTTGAAGGGGATTGCATTGAATCTGTACATCGACTTGGAGAATATTACCATCTCAATAACATTAAGGCTTCTAGTCCATGAACAGAGCATGCTCATTTAGGTCTTTAATGTTTAAGGGGTTTTTTGGGTTTTTTTATGGTATTGTAAATGAGATTGTTTTCTTAATTTATCTTTTCAGTTGTTCATTGCTATGCATAGAAATATAATTAATTTTTGTATATTAATCTTATATCCTTCAAGGTTGTTTATTGATTCTGAGTGTGTATTCCTTAAGACTTTCCATATACAAATTCAGTCATCTGCAAATGGAGATTGTTTTACTTGTTTTCCAATCTGGATGCCTTTTATTTTTTTCTTGCCCAGTTGCTACGGCTTACACCTCCCGTACAATGTTGAATAGAAATGATGAGACTGGACTACTTGTCTTGTTCCTAATCATAGGGGGAAAGCTTTTACTCTTTCACTGTCAAGTATGGTTTTAGCCCTGGGTTTTTCATAAATGCCCTTGATTATTTTGAGAAAACTTTCCTCTGTGCCTAGTTGGACCATTTTTGTCATCTTGAAAAGGTATTGGATTTTGTCAGAATGCTTTTTTTAATATCTATAGAGGTGATCATGTGGTTTTTGCTCTTTATTTGTATGTACTTTGTTACTGAGTCATTTAACAAAGTTTAGTGGGCATCTGCTATGTGCCAGAAACGCATAGATGACTAAGGTCATTATTGTTAAGGAGTTCTGTGACTAGCAAGAAGGACAGGAATGGTAAGCATTACGGCAGAGGGAGGCGTAAAGCTCTGTGGGAATTGAACCCTGCCTGGCAATGGGGTGATGTCAGAGAAGGATTTCCAAAGGACATGGCACATAGCCAGAGAATTGAAGGGTGAGTAAGTTAGCTGGGAGAAGGGTGAAGGGTGGCGCACGCTAAGAACAGAAGAGGTACTTGTGAAGTCACGGACGTAGACACTGAGAGCATAGTATGTTTTGGGAAACTCCTAAGCAGTTTAACTGCTTAGTAAGTGATAAGGACACTCTCTGCCTTGCGATGGCAGGCGACAGTTCAGAACTTTACACAGGGCCCTTCAGAAGGCTGGCAGGCCCCACAGTGGGAGCAGTTCAGAAATAACCTTCATGGATGGAGGCAGCAGTCCGCCATCGTTGTGGCCCACTTCTGATTTGTTTTCCTTGGGATCACTTTCTAGCTTCCGCACTTCCAGCAACAGCCAAGTAAGTAAGCTGACCCTGTCGGGAAGTGAAAGTGTGATCCTTCGTGACACAGCTGCCAACGGGGCCGGCGATGAAGAAGACGGACAGCCTCGGCGGGTTGTGGACAACGAGAAGGAGGGAGTTCAGTACTACTACTCTGTCTTCCACTTCATGCTCTTCCTGGCGTCCTTGTACATCATGATGACCGTGACCAGCTGGTACAGGTAGAAGGCACAGAGAACACAGCTGGGGGCCACTTAGCCCCGCGAGCTGCCTGTAGAACCTCCATCCATTTCTGATTTTAGAATCTCCTCTTACCTATCTAATAAGATTGTGTTCCGTATGGACACTCTCCTGAAATACTTTAGACTTTTTCTCCTTTTGGATTTAAAATCCAGTTGCTGTTCTCACAGTGTAGGTTATGAGGAGCTCTTCCAGACTTGAGCTTGAGAGAGAAAATCCTGACATAGAGCGACCTGACCCGTCTTTGTTCTCTAATTTTTCTCTGTGCCTAGAGAAGCCCATATACAGTATTCTGGTCAAAGGAATGGTTGGTAAGGAAGGGAAGTTTCAGGGAGGCCATTTCAATCTAGGCTTTGACCAGTGTCTAGAACGACCAGATGTCCCCAAAGAACTTTAATCCCCAAGGATTAAGAGTAGTCAGGGTTCTTCATTCTGGCAAAAAGAAAATCTGTTTGAGAGGCGGTGTACCCTACTCATAAAAAGGAAAAACAGCAGCTTCCTCGAGTCCCTGCTAGAACCGTCCTCAGGAACAGTGCCAGTCAAGTTTCCCTGGAGAATTTTCTGGCTTTGGCTGGGGGGCTGCCCGATGCTGAGGTCCAGGTCCTTCTCCTGACCCTCTTCTGTGTTCCCAGCCCCGATACAGAGTTCCAGAATGTGACCAGCAAGTGGCCGGCTGTGTGGGTCAAGATCAGCTCCAGCTGGGTCTGCCTCCTCCTCTACGTCTGGACCCTTGTGGCTCCACTTGTCCTCACCAATCGAGACTTCAGCTGAACCTGAGTGCCGGGGCACCTCCGAAGGTCCTAACGGCTTCCTTTGCTGAAAGCCCCATTCCTTTTGCTTCAACTAAAAGAGTCAGCAAACGCTTTGCGCATTTGACTGTGTTGAGGATTGTGCCCGAGGGCAAGGTTGAAGGATCATGGACTCGGGACCTGAGCTCATTTACATATATATTACATTTATTTTTAAGGCTACAGAGTAAAGGGAACATTTTTGCACTGTAAAGTGAAACTACAGCTGTGCTGTGAAGAGAGTTCTTTATTAAGACCTGTAGGTTCCTACAACTTTGATTTAAAATGTAAGATAGAAAAATATTGGATATTTGAGGCCCACATTAATATATTTCTATTGCAGTATCCTTAAAGAACAGGTAAAAAGTAACAGTGTATTTCTAGGACAGGTTTCCTCTATGACAGTCTCTACCTGTGTGGTACTGGCACCCTGTTCAGTCCTTAAACTCTTAAGAGGTGCAGCATCCCAGCACTTGGGCAAAGGAGTGTGTGTGTGGGTCCTTCCCCAGAGGGCTTGCTGGTAGGGCTACTGCTTCTGCATCTTGAGTTTCTTTGTTTTTTTTAACACTATGGCATTAATGCTGCTTGTTTCAAGTCTGGCTTTGCCAGTACATTAATTTCAAAAAATGCTTTGTAGGTTTGGTTAAAATGAAGATTCACTTGGGAAAACACTGCAACTTTAGTCTATGTAATTAATTATGTTATGAATATGTAAAAGTAAAATGCATGTGAATTTATTATATTTGCACTATAAGGTATTTGATTAAAATAGACTTAAGCTTTTAAGGCCCTTTCTTTAACAGCTTTTATGAATTAGCAGCCATTCTATATTTTTTAGAGTTATGCAGGCAGTCAGATTTATCAGACATCTAGCAGAATGCACCTATTCCTTCTAAAAATTAAGGGCTACTGAGTAAAGTCTTAAACTCATTAAAAAATTGTACTGATAAATATTGTTGGGCAAGACGCTTGGGTAGAAGAGAGGAAGGGGCAGGAACGTCAGGAGAGGAAGTGCACAAGGAGGTAGAAGTTTGTTCTTTCAACAAAGATTGACTCTCTGTTCTTGACCAAACCATCAGGTTCTGGGATACAACACCTTCTTTGCCACCGCGGACTTAAGAGTTTCAAGGAGGGTGAAGATGAGCTGCCACGTGGCGCCACGTGGCATAATTAGCGCTGCGCTTTAGGAATTGCAGAGAGCCCAAAGAGGTGGTGCTGAGGTGGGGGTGTCGTGGTAGGCTTCCCGGGAAAGGGGACGCCTAAGCCAAGAACTGTTAGGCGTTGTTGAGAGCAAAACTGCATGTTAAAGGCAGGGAGATTTCTTTTAACTTGTTTAGTAAAGCTGGGGTAGGGAGAGATGGGCCAGGGACTCAGTTATAAAGGGCTTTGTAAACCGCATGAGAGTTTGGTCTTTGCGTGGAGGGCAGTGGGGAGCGTACCCCACAGCGGGGTGAATAATTTGGGTCTTCAGCCACTGTCTATCAGAGAATGGGTTTAAAGAGAAAAAGACCAGGGCAGTCTGTGCAAGGTTTGAAACAGAAGTAAGAGTGAGGATAGGGAGAAACTGACAGCTCAGAGCTATTTAGTAATTAAAATTTAAAAATTGGCAATTGATTGCATCTGGCGGAGAAGTCGATTCCTGAGTGATTCTGGTTTAACCGACGGACTTGGTGGTAGTTCCATTTGTATGGTAGGGGCAGGGGAAGGGAAAGGCTGTGCCAGGGGAATGGCGGTGTGTCCCTTAAGAATGGCTGTGAGCGTAACGCTTGGAAGTCCGACTCTGTGTCAGTTTTGCCATTTTCTGTCTGACAAATAGCTAACATCCATTGAATATACACTAAGCTTTATGACCCCCGGGCAAATGACTACCTGTCTGAGCCTCATTGTTTTCTCCGAACAAAAGATAGCACCTGGTACATAAGATTGTGTAGAAAATAAAGCTATTTTGCAAAGTGCTTAACCCATTTTAAGCACTCAGGTAGTAGCTGGTAATCTCAATAAGGGCTAAAAAGAGACTAGACAATATTAAAAGGTCAGAGATTTTCAGCCAAAACCTAGCGCAGTTTAGATTCGAGGTGTTCTTACAGAACTCAACACATGGAACAGAGAGGGCACAACCTCAGCCTGGGGGGAGGTGTGGAGTGGAGAAGCAGGGCTGGGTAGGAATTGTTGGAACCATCGTCACTTAAACCAGTGGTTTATGTTGGGGTAAAGGGACCCGGTTGTAAGGGATTTGGGGGGCTTATAAGGGAGGCCTAGCTCTTTTCCAGTATAAAGCAGATACCCCCACTTGCCTGAACAGTGGGGCAAGCCAGATTGAACCCATTAAAGTTCCCAAATTTCAAAAACATTACAGTGTACCACCCCCCCATCTTATGTAATTTAAAATAAAAGCAATACTAAACTGTAAAGTATAAAGTCCAATAAAGTTTTTAAATTTTTTATGATGATAACTTTGATATTAATTTGAAATAACAAATTTTCTTTAAAAACTAAGGGGCAGCATCCCTGGTGTTCGTGGTTTTTGTACCCTAAGAATAAGTTAAGTAGGAAACCTAAGAGCTTGCCCAATGTGAATTATCCACACGAGTGCTGAATTACAGACAAGCGTAAACATCAGCATTTTAAGTCCAGGATCAGACTGCATTTTGAACCATCACACCTCATGGTGTCACCTCACATCACCATCCTAGGATTGCAGACCGAGGGCCCTGGCTCTAAGGTCCGCAGTATGCTGGAGGGTTTCATCAAAGGCACCAGCAGTGGCTGCCTTGCACCGAGGTGCACCTGGGAGAGAGCTTGTAGGCCCGTGCTGGCTGTTTACTTTCTAGGTGGTGGTTACAGGGTCCTCAGCTAGTTAGGAAATAAAACTCTCTTGACAACCAAGTACACTGCCAAAGCGTGGCCGTGGGCCTGGTTATCAGGGCTTTTGATGTTCTAGGCCAAATCACAATTCAGGCTTAATTTAAACCAGGACAGCATTTTCATCCATTCCAAGTCCTTGCTTGATTGTATTTTTCTTTTTACATGTTACGCTACAGTGAGTATTCAATAATACGAGGCCTGCATTTTATCTCTGCAGGCTGAATGCAGCTCCCAGGCTTACGCTTACTCAGGGGAGCGGTGCTTCATCTCTTTATTTCTCTGTGTTGGTATCTTGTATCTGCCATGTTCCCGAGGAGCCCAGATCAGGCAGCCTACTCAGTGATGTCCTAAGCACTGCGGAGTGGCCCCAGCCACGCGACACCTGTCACCTCCGCCGAAGGATAATAAAGAGCCACATGTACCCAGCAACGAGCAGACATCGTCCACACGCCTGCAAGGCGGTGCTGCTTCTCCCCCTTTTACGGTCACTAAGGCTCAGAGAACTCAGTTCTTTCTTCAGTTAGACCCCCATAGTCTCTGCACCTATTAGGCGGCAGGAGACTTTGGAAACTAGAGACCGCTTAGGGATTGGAGGGGAGTCGGCTGGCTCTCTGAGCTACCCATCACTAACAAAGGAAAGTTAGTAACTCCCTAAAGGCAGTAGCTAGCTTTTTACTAGGTCACAGTATCCCTAATGGCTGGTGCCTTATCAGGTAAGAGTGAACATGTGGTTAAAAAGTTTTTTTCCAGAAAAGTGGCACCTTAAATGACTGTATTACTCACCAGCTTTAAATGCAGTAATAAGAAACATTTGCTGCCATTTATTATAGGAATGCCAAACCAGTATGACGTGAAGAGAGGGCAGTGGGGAAAACTAAGGTATTACAAGTGCTGACTCATTACATGGACAGCAACCCCAGTGGCTTATGTACCAAGTGCCTCATACGTATCCTTGTAACGCCGCCATAAGGTGGGAAGGATAGGAGCCATGAGCCCCTTTTCCCCGATGTGAGAAACAGCCCGAGCTTACGTTCCACGGCTTCCTCAGGCAGGCGGACCTGAAGAGCCGGAATGTGTTGCAATGTCGGTACTTACCTGTTGATCCTCAGAAGCCAACAGGAAGGGTAGGAACATCCTGCATGAGAGCATGTCCCACTTGAGCCGTCACCAACAGGCCAGACCCACCGTGAGACCTGGCGCTTGTCTCCTCTACCAAAACAAACAGGACAGGCAGAGGAACGGCTAAGCATGCACAGGACCAGCGTTAAATCAAGCCATACCCTAGTCACCCTGCCATGGAGTCTGTTTACTTACAGGTACTTCTCGAATAAAATGTCCAATTACAACTTGGGTGTCAGAGGTTAAGGACCTCAGCTTTGTATTTTCAAAGCAGCCAAAAAAAGGCCCCTTTTTAGACTGATGCTTCCTCACTCTAAAGGCTCCTCCCTTCTGTCCCTCTGTTGCATCTGTGGACTAATCATAAGAGGAAGAGAAGGGCACAGCCCAGCGCCACCAGGAGGCACTAGTGGGCTGCAGTCAGGCTGCCGGGCTTTGCTCCCAGTTCTACCGCCTGACTAGCTGTGTCCTTGCATAAAGTACTCAACTTCTCTGCCCCTCACAGCGGCAATAACGTCGCTTCATTAAGGGTGCCTGACGATTAAATGAGCTCGTCTATGCAAAGAACACAGTCGATGCCCGGCCCTCGGGAACTCACACCGGAGGGATGCAGGGCCAGTCCGGGAACGACATCGGGGCCTTGAGAGCCAAAAAATGTGCACATCGTCGCCACCACTGTGCGCTGCTAGCTCCGTCCTTCCTAAACACTGGTGTCTTCTAATGTGTGTGATCTTCGGTGGCGGCCAGCCCTGCACCTACAGAATACGCTTGCGCACCATGAATAATAAAGATCGGAAGCTTAATCCAAACAAACTGCCATCGACGCAAAGGGACTCCACACACACTCAACCTTACACGGATTTTTATTGTTTCAGACCCAGTCATGCATACTAAAATTACATGTTTTCACCACTTTGACTTAGAAAATGCACTAGAAAAATAAACTTTTGGTCAAAACAAACACTGAAGTAGATGAATCCACCATCATGGGTCCCTATACTCAAAGCCAAACTGAATTTCAGTTTGAAGTGAAGAATGTGAAGAGTGGCTGAAATGGTTATCCCCAGTCTGGTCAGAAAATTAGCCACCTCCCACCCCATCAGAGTGGCCAGAGGCTCTTGGCCCGAGAGAAGTTTCAAGTATTTCACTTGTAACAGGGGTCCCACCTGATAAGCCAGGAGGTGAGGCACATCCGCAAGAACCCCCACGGGCAGCCGATGCTGCCCAACTGAACACGCCACCTGGTAAGACGGAAGGGAAAGCAGCGACACAGCCCACAGTGAAGTCACTAGCACCTTCATCCACCAATCACACTGGGCTTCCCCGCGGAGCAAGTTCTACTGAGGAGGACTACCTGCCTTGGTGATGCCTACTCCTTATATTCCCAGCAAGCCGTTTCCGAGTCAGAAGGGCAGGAAGGAATCGACTTTCGATCTACAAAATCAACGACGAGAGGCGAGAGAACTGACGTCACTTCTGAATGGTCGCAAGGTTTGTTGGGCGCATCTGCACCTCTCATGCCACGGGACAGCCACACTTAACACGTTAGCTAACATTTTACTTCCTACATGAAGGCAGAGGTTTTAAAGGAAAACCTTAAAAGCCAATAACTTTAAAATGAGGTATTGTAATAATGCCACACAGTACTACAGCTAACACTAATCCTACCCAAATGAAAGACTAATCCCGTGATGGATCTGAGAATCAGACAGCATTTAAAGAAACTGCCCACCAAGAAGAATTCTGAAAGGCTCAATGTCGCACAGGAATTTGGGGGGAATACCTCTTCTTGCCCTGCTTTTTGGCAAAAAAAAAAAAAAAAGTAGCAGCTTCTAAGCTGAAGCGTTTGTAAACTTAAGGACAGGGTGCTCCTGTGAAGCAGGATGGAGGGCGAGGGAGCTGAAGTTGCCTTCACCGAAGAGCAAGAGGAAGCCAGGGTCGCACTCCCTGCTGCTTCTGTAGCGTCCTTTCTGTGGAGTTCGGCCTTTCCCCACGAAGGTACAATGGGATTCCAGGAAGAGACGCTTCTCTGTGTAGTAGCATGTGGGAAGAATGAGGGAGAAAACCCCCATTACCTAAACTCAGACTTCACATGGAAGTTGCAGGTACCCAGGTGGGAGGGTCTCTAATAAGATAGCGTGGCCCTGTGACACGGTGTCCCAATGCCAGGAACAGGGCACTCAGAGTCGGGGTGTGATCCCCTTTTGGTACATGATGGTTCTGGGGTACTCAGTGGCTCACCCAAAGCCACACAGCTAGGTACAGCTGCAACTCATTCCTCCCAGTTTCCTCTTCCCTTCCCTGCACTATGCTGCCCTGAATTTGGGGGAGGGTTCATTTCAGGTCCTGTGAGATGGGTCGGGGTTCTTCCCCGAAGGGAAACACCCCCAGTCCTCGGGCTGCTCACTGGGGTGCTGCCTCCCCTGCCAAGGAGGGCTCCCCACGCTCCCTCGGTAGGCCCCTGGCCCCCTGCTGCGGAAACTATGGAAATGCCGGTAGAGCCACACAGACTGCCTTGATTTTCACCCTGGGAGGTCCTGGTTCCGCAGCTTGACTCAAACTCCTGAGGTGCTGAGACTACCGGATCTCTCTCTGGAGCCAAAACAAAGCACAGCAGCTCCAGGAGGCAGGCAGGCAGACCGCGGCTCCAACCCCTTTCACAGACCGAAAGGAGTGGCTCCTCGGTGCAGCCACAGGCCTGAACAGCACCCTTCCTGGCCTCTGAGATGCTTCCCCAGGGGAGGCTGGCCAGCTAGGTGACTTCACACAGAGGCAGTAGGCTGCCATGCAGAGTTTAAACCGTGGAAGCTCGGTGGGGCTGGTTGAGCAACCCATTTTTCTGTCTAGCTTTTTTTTTGTTTTCTGTTTTGTTTTAATCTCTCCTCTTTGGGACCTAAGGAAGTCTCTAACCAATTTGTCCCTCCAGGCAGACGGGCTCTGAGCCCTCTGTCTACGTTGGCCACCCCGCTCGTCCTCACTCAGATCCGCAGTGCTGGTCACACCATCACTGTCCGATGGAATGAGGAGGGGCAGCCAGGGGCACTTGCACTTTGGCACGTGCAGCTCAGCCAGGTCCCCAGAGGACCCAGGGTCAGTATCTGCGGTGAAGAGAGCTGTCCCTAGAATTGGCACTAATGAGGTAAGTAATTTCCACCACCAACTTCGCCAGACATTTTGAAAAGTGCTATAGAGATGAACAGCTTATTCGCAACAGACTGGCCTTTGAATTTCAGTGTGTTCCCAACTGAGCTGTCCACCTTGCCTGGTGGCCTAGTAAGTGCACAGGGAAGCACACACGCAACACAGAGTACTTGTCACTTTTTAACATAATTTACATGGAATGAATAGGAAAGGAAATAGGTCACAAGCCACAAGATGAACCACCTAATTAGATGCTTGGACAAGGGCTAAATTCTTGACAGGAAGGATCTAAAGTGTCGAAATGCAAAACTAACATTCAGTCCGGCTGGACAGACTAGAGTGTGTCCGGCCACACCAGAGAGAGAAACGCAGACGGGTTCGGGAGGACAGGGGCCCCGGAAGCAACCCAGCAATAACCTGCCCTTGTATCCATGTCCAGAGACCAGAATTTCAGAACCCCAAGGAACTCATTCCCCGCTGCCATCTTTACACGCTACCACCAGAACCTCAGGGATGGGAGGAATCCATACAAGATCCTGGTCACCTCCCTCGCCCACCCTCACAAAAGTCATTCTTTTCACATTGAACCCTCACTGTGAAAAGGAAGTTAGTATCGCGAAGTCCCAGGAATGTACATACTTGTTTCTTTAAAGGCAGGGCCAAATGGTGACTGACACATCCCTCCTGGAAAGGCCCAGGTGTACCCCCAGACAGGGCCCAGCCACCTGCATCGACAGAGTCCTCTTTCTAGGCAGAAAGGTGATGTCTAACATTCAAGAACTAAATCAAACCCAGAACCGCAGCTGCTCAAAGGGCCTGGGCGTCGTTTCATTTAGCCTCACTGTACGGATGAGAAGACTGAGGCTCACAAAGGCCCAGGTCTGGCCCATGGTCATACACCTGAGGCTGGAGCTCAAGTCTCTTCATTCTTAGACCAGAATTCTTTTTGCTGCACAGGCCTGGCATCCAGTATTTTAAGTTGAATAGAATTACATACTTCTAGGACCCCGCATGATTCTACTGAGAACCAGGGCTAAGGCTTTATGGATTTGGGAAAACAAGTTTCTATTGCGAGACTCAACCAATGAATCCCATGGGTGCTCGAAGCCTCTGGCTCCCAAATTTGACCAGGAAGTGCTGCTAGCGTCCCGACGCGTGCCGGATTCTATTAAGGTGCTTTCCAAACCCATGACAGCCACGGGGGCCTGGACCGCAAACATGTAGATTCCTGATGGGCCACAGAAGTCTGGAGTCATGGTTCATGTGAAACACACAAACTCCCAAAGTCTCACGTGTGGCCACCTTGCAGCCTTGACCAGAGTGTTTCAGAGGAATGCGCTGACTGGCCAATCAGATTGTTTTCTCCTGGGACACAGGATCAAAGTGACTTTGGTCCTGATTTTTCTTGCTTTGACGTGTGTAAGAACCTGATAGAACTTCCGGGTTAATAGTTGCAAACTGGGGTTCCAAACATTTGGGAATCACTGGAAACATTTCCCGTGTCTTCCGTAGAATGATTCAAGTAATCCAGGGTGCACCCCGGCTCACCCCCAGGGTAATCCAGAGTTTCCTCCAAACTGCAGCGCAATTACAAGGAGCAAGGACAAATCCTTGGCGCCAAAAATTCTTGTGCCTTCCCAAAGTAAGAAAGGAAAGGATTTAAAGATGGAGACGCTCCCACAGGATTGGCTAGTAGCAGGAGTACAGCTGTGATTTCACGGCCCGCACGGAGTCGTCACACTGTGCGTCTGAGGTCAGCCCCTCGGCCGGCAGGGCCTGGCCCAGGACACTGTCGCAGGCGGGGACAGGCTGGCAGAACTCTCTCACAAAGTCCTCCTCCGAGGCCAACAGCACGGTGTTCCAGGCGGTGACGTCCAGCTCGCCGGCCGTGCCCCCATACTCCTTGGGAAGAATGCTTCTTGGAAGGTTTGTGTGGAGAGAGTTCAGGTCAGACCCATGGAGGAAAAACTAGAGGGGAAGGAAATGAAAACACACACGGCCTTGGGTTAAGCCTCAGTCACTCAGTAACCTCCTTCCCAGGACGTGCTCAAGGAAGTATCTGGTGAATAAATAAAGCAGCAGGTGACGGCAGCACGACCCTTCCAGTCCCTTGAAAAGCCTGATGATCCTTAATTTCTTTTCCTTAAAGCCCATGCCCTGCTGGCTGCGACTTCAAAACAGACCCAGAATCCAAGCACCTCGCTGCCCCGCTGATGGAGCCATGCCGCCACCATTGCTCACCTGGCCTCCCACAGCCGCCTCCCTCCTGGTCTCCTTGCCGCCACCCTCGTCCTGCCACACCCTCAGTGCTTCCCAGGGAAGTCAGATCATGTCCCTCCTCTGTACGATGCTCCAGTGATCCTGTGTCACAGACTAAACGCCGGAGGCCATGCGGTGGTCCCCAGCGCCCGGCACCATCCCGCGCTCTTGCCGCTCTGCCTCCTCCCCGCCGCCCTCCCTTCCCTGCCCCTCCAGCAGGCCGGCTCGCTCCCACCTCAGGGCCGGGCTGTTGCTGCTCTCCAGGTGTCTGGGAGGCTCACTCCTTCACCTCTTTCAAGCCTGTGCTCAAATGCCAGCTTCTCAACGATGCCACCTCTAACCACCCTACTGACTATGACAACCCCTTCCGCCTTCTCTCTCTCTCCATCCCCTTCTGCTGCTTTATTTTTCTCCATTGCACTTACCAGGTTCTAACAGCAGCTAATGTGTGTAACTTGTCTCTATCTCCCTAGAATACAAGCTCCCAGCGGGCACAGATGTCAGTCTATTTTGTTCATCTAGAACATACTTGCACATAGTAGTTGATCAATATTTTTAAATGAATGAATGAATGAATGAATGAACGAACATATGAAGGACCAAAGGAACAAGATTGTGGGCCACAAATAAGATCATTTCACAGGCATGAAAGGCCTGGTCCAAAGGCTGCTTTGGGAGAAGCAGGCTCCAAATAGGCTCCCCAGAGACCAACACAGGCTCAAACCCAGGCATGGAAGCCACTAAGTTAGCGGTTCCCAAGCCCAGAAACACCCAGGAGACCTGAACAGCACTGATAGTTGGGCTTCACCCCTGAGCTGATGAAGCGAAAAGGCCTGCCGATCTGGACTTTTAAGTGCCCCTGCCCCCTTGCAATCTCGAGATCCTCTCTTACTGTGCTTCCTCTTTGAAAGAAAACTATGAAATTCAAGACCCAGACTTTGGAGTGATCACAATGTTTGCAGGCCTAGGGAAGGAGAAAAATACACCCATCTCATTTCAATCACGGTGCTGGGAAAGGCTAAGAGAAGCGGCTCTTCCATCTTTGAAAGGGTCACCTAACCTTTCTTAATAAGAATTAAGCTAAAAACGCACAAATCTCATAAACCTGGAATTAGTCCCCAAACTTTACATAGTGAGAAAACAAAGCAGGTAAATGGAAGGGCTCAAACAGCCCAAGGCGCCGCAGTGGGAATGTCCGCAGCTCTTCCTCACCGCCCGCCCCGGGGCTGCCCTCTGCCGAGCCCTTTCACGCGTAAAACCCAACGTTGGTTCACAGTGCCCAGCCCAGGGCAGAACGTCTAAATGATCACGGAGCTCTGAGGATGACAATCCTGGCTCTGCTCTCTCTGCTGTCCAATATTATGTTCTTATTCATTTCCGCTTCCCTTCACAGAAAGGATTGTTCATTGGACTTGCCAAGGTAACAATCCCAGGGGGAAAAATAAAAAACTGAGATAAGTTTATTGATGATGTTACAAATAAGGGAGAAAAAAAAATTAAATCAACAGGATCATCACTTACTCTGTTCGCTATTTTCTCCTTCAGGAATGGTTTTATGATGGCAAAAATGCCTTTAAATATTCGAGGCTCATTCACTACATGGACTGCTTTTATCCGAATGGGGAAACCGTCCTGCGGGGGAAGGAAGAGGGTGTTAGAACATGAGCAGTATTTGCAAAGTGTCTCTTACGACAGCCTGCCTCCCCCAGTGACATCTTCATTTTAGGCCCCAACGTCAGCCTGGTCCGAGTCCCACGGCCTCCTCTGAGAAACCCAAGTCGGGGCGAAACAGCCAGGCCAGTCTCAGGGAGAGCCTCTCCTGGGACCCAGGGCTGGGTGGGGAGGGAGTCGGGCAGACTAGTGGGGAGCCGCTCTTCTTGCGGCAAAAAACGGTCTGAGCCTAAGTGGATGGAGCTAGCAGGTACCAGACCTTCTGGGTCGGTGCTGCCCAAAGTGTACTTCTCAGGAAGTTACAAGGTGTGATGCAAACAAGGGCTCCATGGTAGGTACACAAGTGCGAGTAGTAGACTCGATGTAGTCAAACAGTTGGTTTCCTTACGGGCAGGGCTGCCCAGAGCTGAAATATGCAAAGGTTTCCAGTGACATTCACAAGGAGGGGACTTGCTTACCGCATTTCCCAAACTTATTTAACCCTGGAATTCTGTCTCCCAGATCATCGTACTGGATGAGGAAACAATGATCCAAACTCATTCTGCTGACCCTTGAATCTACATGGCATTTAGCAGGAAGGATCCAAACAAGAGGAACAGCTAAGGAAGACCAGAGTGCCGCCTGGGAGCCAGAATGCAAATTTCTGATAATGACCAAATGGGACACCGATGTTGAAATAATCTGTCTGGGGCACAGCAGGGGCAGAAGACACTGAGAACTGTTCTGGCTCTGGTGCCCCACAGCTCACAAGAGGCAGCGCGCCACGGGCTGGGGGCCCAGCCCATTAGAGACGTGGGCCAGGCTGCATCCTCTGGGTGTCAGTTCCCCCATCTTCCAAACAGGAGAAATAAGTTTTGACCTGTCTATCTTGAGAGATTCCTCGAAGGACTGAATGGGGAGGATGACTATAAAAGCGCTCTGCAAACCGTTACACGCTGTGAAGATACATAAAGAGCCTTATGGTTCTCCGCAACTTGCATTCTGAGACAGAGAACACGGAGGGCAAAAGCATCCGGCCACGACAGTCCAACAGCACTCCACGTCCCCAGTCCCACAGGCGGCAGGACAGGCTCTATGACCTTGGGCAGAAGCGCGATTTCTCGGTTTCATTTGTTAGGAGAATTTCTCCTCTGCCTTCTCAATTTACAAAAAAAAAAAAAAGAAGAAGAAGAAGAAGAAAGCATTTCTCTGGCGTTTGGACTCTTGCCCAAAAGCTGACCTTCCCTAGGCTGAAGATACTCAGAAACTACTGGAGACCTTCATGGGAACCAGTGGTAAACAGAACCTTTATATTTCCCATAATGCTTCTGTATTTTTCAGATTGTAGGAGTGGGAAGTGGGGAGTGCATATCACATGAGTAAATGTACAGGGCCCCGGGGAAAGCCAAACAACCACAGAACAGACGCACGACAAGCAGGAGCCATACCTGAAGGATGCCAATCACCTTTTTGGCTATGAAAGGGCCGAAGTGAGATGCTTTTGATAAGCTCACTCCTTTGTAGTCTGCAAGAATTACAATTCCATTCACTTGGGTTTCTTCAGACTGAATGAGTTTTTCCAATGTCAAGTATATGGCTCGGATATTTTCGGTGATTGGGTAGTTGCTCGGTATCCACCTGTCTAAGGTCATATGAGGTGATCAGTATGTTACAGAAATAAGTACAATCAGACAGGCTAAGATTTATCTCTGTGCTAAAACTGTTGTTTGAAGATGGAAAAGCAAGATATAGCTACTGGCATGGCTCTATTTAGGTTAGGAAATCAGACACCTTCAGCAGCACCTGACATTTCTTAACTGCAACACAGCAGCACATTCTGAAATGGAAAAGCAGCTGAGTGTTCAAATTAAAAGCGTGAACCCTCAAGTCAGATGCTGGGCAGGTCACGTCCTTACACCGGAGCCTACCTCGCCTCACAAGTAGAACAGGATAATGGCACTTATCTTAATGGACATCTGTACCACTGCCATCGGATGTGTCCCCTTATCTTTATCATCGCACCCTGATTTTTCTTGGGGAACCACCTCTTCCCATGCTAACCATGCACTTGGATCCAATAGAATTGACTCTTGGCTCCAGATGTGGGCGTGGCCACTCCAGGCCTTACCTCCCCTGGCCACTGTGTGTGATCCCAGCCAGGTCAGGCGAGCCAGGCGGACTCATTCCGGGACCCTGGCCCTTTGGAAAGAGATCTCTCTCTCCCCTTGGAATGGCGATGACAGGAGCCTGAGACGCAAGGGTCCCATGAGACAGCAGCTGGTCTAAGGAGAAGCCCACGCCAAGGACAGTGGAGATGGAGACGGCTTTCTAATGCTGTGGTTTGAGCCAATTCCCCTGCCCAGGCTGGTGCTCCTTTAATACCCCCCACAGAGTTAGAGTCTTTCCTTTCTTTGGGAAAAAGATGGAATGACAACTTTTGATTATTAACCACTGTTCTCAAGAAAATCCCACCAAGGTTTGGGTGACCCTTTGTTAGAAAGAGAAAACTACACACGATTGCCGCCAGTGGGATGTGTAACGCGCGCAACATTCCTATGAAGAAGGCTCTGTCCAAAAATTGTGCCAGCTTGCGGTTTAACGCTGCTGCCAATTAAACCTGCTTCTACACAACTGGCTGTCATACTTTCCCATCACAGGTGTCTCAAAAGGGCTTCTAAAAAAGCAAAGCCAATCCCCAGCTGAGAATAAAACCTCTGTATGTCTCCTCCTAAAAAGTTGAGTTGGGGGGAGGGGTCTCGATCCGCTCCAGAAATACGAGGGAAGAAGTTTGTCTTACAAGCAAAGGGTTGAAGCCACACAAGAGGTGAAATCAGTGTGGCAATACCCGACTGTTTCATCATATTCCTCGGGGCTGAGTACAGAGAAGCGGCAGAGAAACCCCTGACTGGGTTTCTAGGCCTTCCGGTGCCCTGAAGTCTCCACTGCATTGCTTATGTAAATTTAAAAATAAGCACCTCTCATTTTGCAAAGTGCCTAAAACAACGGGTAGAGCAGTTAGTTAACACTGTGCCTGAAACTCAATGAAAGCTCAAGAGAATGGTTTAGTGTCCAAAGAGGTTTCAGCAAGTGACAAACAGAAATGGCGACATGGGTCCTAAAGGAAGAAGAAAGTGCATGGGGGGCGCTAAGGAGGGGTGTGCCTTTGGATGTGTGACAAAGGGGACGGGCAGCAAGTGCCCATTTCCCTGGCTTGCTGGGGAGAGGGAGAACACTATCGTCTTACTTTCAAACTTTGTCTCAGCTCTGGCCCATGAGAAAGGTTGCAGCTGGGGGTGGGGTGAAAAACACTCCTGAGTTTATGAGGCAGTTGGTGTCACAGAAGACACTAGAAGGAAGAATGCCAAGGCTTGAGATCTAGCATCCCCTAGTTGTGCTGTCAACTAAAAAATGTCCCCACACATTTCTAGTATATGTGCTGCCAAAGCATGCACTGTCCCCACGCATTTCTAAATGCTTCTGGGTAGGTGGTGGGGCAGGGCGGGGTGGGGGGGAGTGGCCACCAACTGAGAGCTACTGTGCCAAAGAAACCTAAGGTGTCCTGATTACCATCCCGAAGCGCTAAGATCAAAAAGTGAATCTAAAGTGAGTCTTTTCAAGGGCTTAACAAAGTCGGGAAAAGGAGGAAAAGTTGGGAGGAGGCACGTGGCAGACAGACGCCTTTCCAGGCGCCGCCCAGCCCCACACTGACACCTGCACCTCACCTACCCACCAAGGAGGGATGGGGCGGGGTCCTGGCAGCCCTGCTTACACCCGAAGACCAGGGCAGCTTCTCAGCGCACCGGATCCTCAACCCTAGAAATCTAGAATTGGCACTGAAGGGACTTAGTTGGGTGGCCAGGGAAACCGGGGAGCTGAGGGGTGCCTGATGTCGTCATGTGCACAGAGGCAGCAAAAGCCAGGCCACGGAGAGAAGACACGCGAAGGGCAGCAGACAGATGTGGCCCAGAGACACACAGACTGAAGGCCGGCAGATGCAGAGATGGGGAGCAAGGCCGGCTCAGTTCCCTCCCGGGGGAATGAGCTGGGTTCTGGTTCTGGGTTCCAGGGCCTAGTGAGAGCTGCTAATGGGAGATGCTCCTGTGTCCTCAGACGAAATCCTCCCTTGAAGCCAGGTTGAGTAGGGTTTTGTCATGCGCCATCCAAAGAGCTGGACTAAAACAGGGAGGGGGCAAAAGGGAAAAGGAAAAGGAGAGAGGGTGCCGGACAGGTATATCCCAAACGGAGGCTGTACACACGGGCCCCGCAACGGCCCAGCGCAATACCTGGGCGGATGCAGAGGACATGGCAGCCCCGGGGGTCGGTGTGGGGCAGCACGGTGAGGAATCCGGAAGCGAGGACATCTTTCAAGGCCGAGGGCTTCAGATTGTTGAAGACCTCGGGCCAGCTTCTCCGGCAGCTGTGGTAGTTGATCAGGAGCTGCAGGGCCCGGTCGTAATCAAACTTGCGGGCTCGGAGGAAGCGCAGCAGGAAGGCGTCGTCCAGACTGGTGCTCAGGTTTGGGTATTCCTTCCGCACCATGTCACGGAGGGCCTGCACATCTCGAAGTCTCCATTCCGGCTTCTCCTGCAGCTCTTCCCTGGCCTTGGTGACCAGCTCCTCGGTCAGCGAGCACACATAGCCAGGGAGCTCGGGGGCGGGCGGCAGCTCATTTTCGGAAAGTGAGGCCACAGAAGGGCTGGTTCTCAGAGAGTCACTTTCCTCTGACATTAGCGACCAGGATCCCTGTCAAAACAGAAGCCCCAGGGGAAGTTAATAAAGTGAGGCACTGGTCATTTCAAACCCCAGGGCAGCTGAGGTAGGGGGACGGCAACATTTTGTTAAGCCAAGTAAACTCAGAGTCGTGGGTCTCAGTGTGGGGTGGGGGAGGGAACTAGATCCGAACCACAGGCCCAGGGCCAACCCCAGACTCAGTGCAGTTACCTACACTGAGGCACCTACAGCAGAAAACACCCAAATGCTCACCAAACCTTGCTCACGATGTATGAACAAGTGCTCAACCTAACTTGTAATTAAAGAAATGACAATTAAAACAATGTTGATATGCTTGTTGTTAGGAGGATAAATTAGATAGCCTTTTTAGATGGCAGTTTGTCAATATCTATCAAAACCTCAAATACCTTTTGCCACATATCCTTTGCCTCAGCTTTCTATTTCCAGAACAGGTACGTATATGTGTGGACAAAATATGCACGACAGGATCATCGTCACAAGTGTTGATTATAATGGCAAAAGACTGGAAACACTTTACCTGCCTACTAGATGGAGACTGGTTAACTTATAGCACCATAGGAATGGAATACTATTTAGTCATGAAAAGGAACCAGGCAGAACTTTATAAATTGACATGTTAATGGGAAAAAAGCAGGTTGCAGAACAGTGTACATAAAATAATTGTGTTTATATTTTTAAAATATACACATTTATACACTTGCAAATGCACCTAAAATTCCTGAAAGAAATACAAGAAACTGTTGCCAATGGTTCCCAGGGAACAGAACTGAAGAACTGGATTATTTAAGGTAGGAGAGACTTTTTACTGTACTGTTTGAATTTTTTTTTTTTCCCATACACAAAGTGACTTATCATGGTGGCCATGAAACTGAGCTCATCAGATCTCGCACTGGAGAGAAGCATAACTGACGGATGGCCCCAGCTCTGCCCTCTGGACTCACCGCCCCGCGAAAGCCACACCTTTCACAGATGACCCCAGCCAGTGGCCGAGATACTGGACTCCTCGAACAGGCAACTCTGCCCTGAGGGCTCCCGGTCAGCCTGGCCCGCCGAACCTTTCACGGACCTGCACTGTAGCCCCACGCTTCTGCCCAAATCTCCTCCCCAGGGACCAGCTCCCATCCTTTATGTTTCGTGGGCGTTGCCTCTGATAGGTTTCTTGCATGTCTAATCTCATCCTAGTGTTTGCTTCTTAGAAGACTGAACCAGTACACTTATCAAATGAAAAGCAAGAACAAAACAACTGCCTTAGATAGTCCAGGAGCAAACTAGCAGCAGAGCTGTCCAGTTCCAAAGGCCAAGTTCTTGTCCGTGGGCTGTCACTGAACCTCCACTCAGAGCTCAACAAGGAATGTAGGGACCATCTCAAGGGTCTCTGCAAAGAGTTCCCCACAACATCCACGGCAGCCATTGTGACCAGATCACTTCCCCTAAGTCTTAGGTCTGCCCACTCCATTCCTTGCATTCTAACCTTTGGCCCCACCCAGCTCCTTCCACTTCCTCAAAGGTGTGTTTTCTTGTCTTATACACCTCCTGTTTGCTCCAACTAACATACTCTTTCTCCAGTTCATCGCCTGACTGCTTCGCCCTTAAGTTCCATTTAGATGCTACTTCATTCATTCAACAAATATTGAGCACTTACTATGTACCAGGCCCACTTCCAGGCACCGGGGATACAGCAGTCAATAAAAAATCCTGCCTTCATTGAGTTTAGATCCTAGTTGGAGACGGGAGGACTACAAGCAAAATAAACTATATAGTCTACTAGAAGAGAGTACTATGGAGAGAGAAAAAGCAGGGAAGGGGTTTGAATGTATCTGGGACAGGAGTTAACAATTGTAAGTTGGGTGGTCAGAGAAGGCCTCCCCCAAGTGACAATGGAACAAAGACAAAGGAGACAAGAGGAAGCCATGCAGGTATCTGGGGGAACAAGTACAAAGTCTGAGGCAGGAACATGCCTGGCTTTTCCAAGAACAGAAAGGAGGCCAGTGTGGCTAGAGCCAAATGAACAAAGCGGAGAGTATTGGCAGATGCATTTAAAGAGGCACCCATTGATACAGAGCTTCGTAGGCCAATAAGAAGTTTGACTTTCAATTTGGTGGGAGCCATGGAGGGTTTTGAGTGGAGTGACATGACCACATTTATATTTTAAAAGGGTTACTTGGCTGCCTTGCAAATGGACTTTAAGGAGATGAGGACAGAAGTGAAGAGGCCATTTAGAAGTTTCTGCATAATCCAGGCCAGAGATGATGGAGCCTGAAGCAGGAGGCCCTCGCTGACTCCAGGCGAGGTGAGGAGCTTTCCCACGGGAGCTCTTTGCCAGAGCGCTCCCCCCACTCAGTTGCAGGCAATTTGTGGGCAACATTCCCTCCGTCTGTCTCATCACCTTAAACCCAGCACCTAACAGGGTGCCAAGCACATAGTCTGAGCTCCATAAATATTTGTTAAATGAGTTTAATCTGCTTGGCGGGCATATGCTGAGCAAGGAATGGAACAATCACAGATTCAAAGGATCTGCCCTGGGCTGTTTCCATGGGAGTTACCGGCAGATGCCTGTGATCCCAATTCAGTGCTCACCAAGGAGAAAGGCTGTAATGCCCACATCCTAGCCTCGAAGTTCTTCTCCAGCCTCTGTCCTGCTCCACCCCCACCCTCTGTCACCCCATGCACATTAAATACCAGCCAAAACAAAGTAATGACCCGCCATTCTTGGGACACCTCATGCATTTGTGATATCTCCGCCTGGAACTCCCTCTTCTTGTTTGTTCCAACCAGACACCTCCACGCCTTCCACCTTCCACGCTCAGCTCCACTGTCACCTCCTCTGTGAAGCCTTCCCTGATTCCCTCAGGGTGATTCCCTCCAGTTTTCCAGAGCACCTATCTCATTCAGAAATGGCAGTCCAGTGTTATAGGTTTTTGCATGAAAACTCCTCAGTCAGTTTCACCAGCCATTCACTATCAAATAATTATTGATCACCTGCCACATGCATCAGGCCCTGTGCTGGTAGGCACTGGGCATCCAACAGCGAACAATTGAATTCTTTGCCTTAGGAAGTTTAACTCATAGTGGAATAATGAAGAGATAATACGTACTTGATGATTTTATCAGGTATCAAGCACGATGATAAGCACCTTACATCTTTCATTTATCTTCACAATATCTGGTGACAGCTCTATTACTTTTCCCATGTACAAAGGCGGAAACTGCTCACTAGAATGCAGATTCCATGAAGGCAGCCAATTTGCCGGGCATGTCCACTGCCATCCCCAGCGCCTGGCACATGGCGGTGCTCTGCAACTACTAGCGGATGACGTGAGGTTCCGCGATGTGCCCAGGGGTACACAGCCAGCGAGGCAGAGAAGGACGTGTCAAGCCCCACACTGGGCTCTACGCTCCAGCTGGAGCTCCCTGTTTGATCTTCAGGGTCTAGGCGGTGTTAAGCACAGAGCGCGGCTCAGCCACAGTCTGAATGAACTGATGGGTGAGCACAGGGAGGGGTGCAAACACCATTCCTTAGGGCGGAGCCGTGCATCTTCCTCACCTGGAGTCCATCATTCCGTGAGCATCACCTTCCTCCCCACGCCACCCAAACAAGGAGAAGTCAGGATGCCATCACTCCTGGAGCCCCAGAGACTCTACGTCCCGTAGCCAGCCTTTTGAGGCCCCCCACTTCCGGCTGTCACCCCTCCCCCAGGTGTCCCCATTTCCTGGGGTCTCTCTCCTCGGGTCGCCCACTTCCGGTTATCCCTCCCCCTCAGGGGTCCCTCTCCCCGGCCCCCAGGGTACTCGGACGGGCTCGCGGGCACTCACCGGCCCGGCTACGGGGCGGAGCGCGGGTCAATCGGCGGCTGGAGCTTTGTCCGGCAGCGCGCGCAGAACCGACCCGCACTCCCGGCCCGGCCGGCCGGCCCCTCGCGCCGGAAGTGACGTACGCAGGGCGTGTGAAGACAGGCGCCGCTAAAAGTGCGCAGATGTAACATCTCGCTGTATCGTCGGTCTCTTGTCCCCACCTGGCGGCCAGAACCCCGCGCAGTGGGATAGGAGCCTGGGAAGGGCTGAATGCCAGCAGCTTTCGATCGTATAGCTGGGGAAACTGGGGCCCAGAGAAAGTAGGAAAGCAGCTTCCATTTTCCGAGAGCGCAAATTCCACGTGCTTGGTTTACATTTTTTGTTTCGTTAAATCCTCATGTTTATGGAAATTATCATGAACGGGAAAAAGGCAATCAATGAAGTAAAGGGCTGTAAACCTAGATTTCAGGGTTAACATTCCAGGATTCTTACCTGCTTTGGGGCTCGTGAAGTTCCCTTCTTGAAAGCGGTAGATCCTTGCAAAAAGGATTTACCAGCCCCCGACCCTAGTCCGTTACAATCCCCAGATACGTCAACATATATTTTGTGCAAATACGACTTTGAGAAAAATCTGGGTCCGTCTTTCAGGCAGAGTAAAGACGCTAAACCATTTCTAGAGAGAGAAATTCTGTCGTCCAGGAGGACTCAGAGCAGGAAGGAGTATCGATGAGATGACCTTAAGCTCCTCCTTCCCTCCTCTACGGGTAGCAGGCCCCAGGCAGGTGGGAACTGACCCATGAGGGCCACAAGAACGTGATAGTTTCTGTGAGATGCTAGATTGTGTGAAAATTTCAAACTTTATCTCTTCTGTAGAAGAAAGGAGCTACAAAGGTAATATAGAAGAGGTTAATTAAAAGCCTCATAATGCTGTATGTGCATTGGAAATATCAGTATGAATTCAAGAGATGATTTTTTTAAAAATAGAAATATGTATGTATACACACATATACATGTATATCTATACATAGTATATATATAAAATATCTAATTCTATACATTAGAAAGGCCCAGAAACAATGAGTAATCAGATTTTAGTCTTAAAGTGCCATTTTCTACTTAAATAAATAAAGGGACCTTTTGGAGAAATTGCTGATTACATATCAGTAGCAGGAAATATACAGGATGAGCCTAGGATATCTTGTCATACTGGGTAACAAAGAAGCTATCAAAGGCACTAGGATTACATCAAAGGAATTTAGAAACCAACCTGAAGATGAGGTCATTTTAGCTGCAACAAAGATAATTGCAAGTGACTGAAACTCATCAAATACGTTTCAATCCCTGAGTTCATAAAACCAGCAAAAAAAAGTTCATATTCAGCAAAAACGCCAATTGATCACCTTCTGAGGATGACATGGAAACAAATTAATAGATTAAGAAAAGCAACTTCTTATAAAATTATTACAGCTAATAAATGAAAACAAAACGGTACAATATTGCCATTTTGCAATCAGCAATAAATTCATGTTTCTAGCCAGAGAGAGAGAGAGAAAGAGAGAAGGAAAAAAAAGAAAAAAGGAGCAAAACTCCAGCCATGTGCATGATTCTTGATAAAAGAACCCAGAACCACCTGTTAACATGCCAAAGGGATGGAACCTGGGTCTGATCCAGCTGCTAATTTGCAAGAAATGCAGAGGTCAAAGGGCCAAGTTGAACTGTACAATGAGGATACAATTGACAAAATCAAGACTCTGAGAAACTCTACAGGCCGAGCAGCCTGAGTTCTTCAACAGATAAATTGCAAGGAAAAGAAAGAGATGGAGAAACCTATGTGTTAAAAAGGGCTTAAAATACGTATTGTTTTTTAAAAATGGGCAAAACTAAGCTATAATGTCTAGGGATGCACACTCAGATAGATGATTATACCATAAAGAAATGCAGGGAAATAATTACTATAAAAGTCTGGTAGTGGTTACTTTGGGGGGAAGGGCTGCAATTGGGATAGGGCGCATAGAGGGGCCCCTGGGTGGCTGGCAAAACTCTATTTCTTGACCTGGGTGGTGGTTACAAGGGTGTTTGTCTTGTAATGATTCCCTGAGCTGCAAATTTAATTTGTATGATTTTCTGCATCTGTGGTTTGTTTTACAATATAAACGTTTTAAAAAATGAAAAGAGAAGCACCTCATTGTGTGTATCTGCCTATACATATACATATATGGATGGATGGCTTCTGGGAGTTCCAAGTACATAGTAGGTGCTCACTAAATATGAGTTGCCTTCCCTGTTAATCCTGTGTGATTTCAGTCCCATTATCAACATTACAAACTTGTGTGACTCGAAAATAGTTGATTCTTATTATGTGCCAGGCACTGTTCCCAGTGCACCTAACCTAACCGAATCTTCACGGGCTTATTATTTTTATTCCCATTTTACAGAGAAGAAAACTGAGGCTCAAAGAGGTTATCTGTGACTCCACAGAAAGTGACAGAGCAGTCCGGTTTTGAATCCAGGCAGACTGGCTTCCTGATCCATACTCTTATCATACATATGTATATATAGCTTACCATTTGTTTGTTTGTTTGTTTAAAAGAGAGGAAAAAAAAACACTGACTTGTTCTTCTAGTTACTTATGCATTCACTGGCTGATTCTTGTATGTGCCCTGACTGGGGATCCAACTTGCAACCTGGCCAGGGCCTTTCTTTTTTTCTTTTTTAAATTTGGTGTCAGTGCCCCTATTTGCACAAATAATAACTCCCTCTTACTGAGTGCCTGCCAATGTGTGTGCCACACCTGGGTCTCACACAACTCTGGAAGGTGGAAGTACTTTTTTGTTTTTGAGAGATGGGAAAACTGGAACCCAGAGAGCTGAAGGACTTGCCCAAAGTTTCAAAGTAAGTAAACGGCAGAGCTGGGGGGAGTTATTGCTGGAGAGGACTCATACTCTTTGGCCCTTGGGATTCTAAAGAAGTGTTCCATACTCTTAAACAGATGCGTACCTGATGGATCTGACCCAGTTTGAGGTCACGGGTGGCCCAATCAGTGGTCCAGAGCCTGACTTGGCTTGAGAAGTGTCCAGACTAGGGCCGGGAGAAGTTGAGAGCTTGGCAAATGCCAGACATGCCTGACCCCAACTGGAGGGTCATGTGAAGCTTGTGACCCATGGGCCTGGCACATCTCAAGGAGCCAGAGACTTCTGTGTGCCAGGCTTTTGTTCATGAGCTTTAAAGGACCTACAGTAGAACTGTGCACCTTTCCAAGCATGAGATGAGATTTCCCCAGGGCTGGCGGCTGGATTTTCCAGAAGAGGCAGGAGTCCAGCTGTGTTTTCTCTGGTCACACATTGATTTTTTAACCTGAGTCAGCATGACTGCTTGGAGGTACGGCCCATTCTGTTCCTGGGGGCTCTGCATCCCAGCTGGGCTGAAGCATTTCCAAAACAGGGCTGGGAATGGTAGGGGGCAAGCAAAGCAAGGGCCATCTCCATGAGCCGACAACGGCATCCCAGGACGGAAAGGGGCAGCTTTAAATATCTGTTGAGTCCAGAGCACTTGAGGCTGGCGAGTGCGGTGCAGGACAAGTGACACCTCCCTCTCCTCTCACCATCTCTGCCCAGCCCCTTATGGACCCGCTGAGACTCAGAAAGGCTAGGAAACCATCAATGGGCTCCACAGGTTGAAAATGAAAACAAAACAAAATCTAGCGCTTCTAGAATGGCTGAAATTAAAGAGGCCCCAACAACTGGAATTCTCAGACATTTTTGGTGGGTGGGACTACAAGGTGGTACAACTACTTTGGGAAATAGTTTGCAGCAGTTTCTTAAGAAGTTAAACATATCCTGACTGGTGCGGCTCAGTTAGTTGGGAATCATCCTGCAAAGCGAAAAGTTGCTGGTTCAATTGCTGGTCAGGGCACGTTCCTGGGTTACAGGTTCAGTTCCTGTCGGGGAGCATATGAGAGGCAACTGATCGATGTTTCTTCCCTTCTTTCTGCCTCCCTTCCCCTCTCTCTAAAAATAAATAAATAAATCTTTTAAAAAAGTTAAACATAAACTTATATGACCCAGCAATTATACTCCTGGGCAATTATCTGCCCAAGAGGAATGGAAGCACTTGTCCACTCAAAGACACTTACATGAATGTTCTTGGCAGCTTTATTTTTAATAGCCGAAAACTGGGGGCAAAATGCCCATCCACAGGGCAATGGGGTAAACAAACTGCAATATATACAGGGGTGGACAAAAGTAGGTTTACAGCTGTGAGTACACGAAACTGAATATATTCTTGTATTATCATTTATTCATGATTGTATTATTTATTTGTATTACCAACTGTTAACCTACTTTTGCTTGCCCCTGTATCTGTCTTAGCAACAAACAGGAACAAACTATTGATATACAGATAAATTTCAAAATAATTATGCTCAATGAAAAAAAGAGTATGACTTGTATGTTTCCTTTTCTATAAAATTCCAGAAAATCTAACATAACTTGCAGTGAAAGAAACTAATGTGGAGTAAGTTGCCTCCCCTGGGAATGGGAGGGATGAAGAGGTGGAGAGGAGGTAGCGGGGCTCCGAAGGACCTGTGGGGCGATGCAGACGTTCCTCATCCTGACTGTGGTGATGGGCTCCTGGGTGTGCACTTATGTCAAAACTCACCAAATCATGCGATTGAAATAGTTGTAGCTCATCATACATCGGTTACACCTCAATAATGCTGTTTTTAAGAAACTCGAGAGTGGCACAATTGGGATTTGAACCCATGTGTCTAAGGTGAAACCACTCCGGAGCTGGCAAGTCATTGAAAGGCTTCCCTCCTTTCTTGGCTGGGGATATAAAGTCAGTCTACATGGCACCACCTCCAGGAAGCCATCCAACCTCCATGGCACCACCTCCATGGCACCACCAACAGGAAAGTTCCCCTCCCTTGTGGAATTGCCTCCCCCTCGGCTTCTACCCCACCACCCTCTCGCCTGCTTTCAGGATTTGTCAGTGGCTCCTTTCTTCACTTGGGGACTTTCCCTTGCGTCCTCCCCCATATGGTCCTTCATATATGCTGCCTGAGAGGTCAGTGCCAGAATCCGACCGGCTGGGTTTGATTTACACCAGCTCTCTGACCTTGGATGTCTCCATTACCTCTTTGAGCTTCAGATTCCTCATCTGAATAATAATAGCAGCTACCTCAAGATTGCCTTAAGGATCAAATAAGAGACAGTTCATGTTAAACAATTAGCACAGGGCCGGGTATGTAATAAAACACTCAATAAATGTTAACTATTATTGATCTTCACCTGGGCAGTGGCTGCTGACTGTTTAAGTTTCTCAGCCTTTGAATCAAGTACTTACCGCCTCAGCTATATTTATTGACATGGAAAGATGCCCAAAACGTACTGTTGAGGGGGGAAGAAGGGCTACAAAACAATATATGCCTCACAAGTCATTTTAAAGATTAAAGGAAAAAATGGACAGACATCTCAGCATGGAGCCTGCACAAGGGAGGCGCTCAGTTGTGATTATTATTAACTTGAAGACATTTTGTAACCCTCCCAGTGCTACTTTCGAATAGTGTCATGTGAGTTCTTGGGAAACAAGATAATGTTCGCGATTGTTTCAACAGTGAGTCAGAGAGAGAGACCTGCGTGGTCCCTTCTACCTTCCTTCTGACGCTTGTCAGGGGGCTATCGTGAGCAGGGCTGGACTTGGACTTAGGACCCATTGGTCTCATGAGAATCTTGGTACTTTCTTTTGTGGTCCTGGAGCAAAAGAAAAGCAAAGCCTTGCCCTTTGGAATGAAGACTCCAAGCTTGGATAGAGAATTCTTTGCAGTAACTGAGGTGCCATGACAAAATGTAGACACATGAGGGCGCTCCAATCAATCGGCAATAAAGAAAATCCCAGAGGGGTGACAATAGCGACAACAGAAATGTTGCTGTTACATTTAAAAATAGCTTCCATTTATTCAGGTGTTTGTTAAGAGCTCCTAAAACGTGCAACGAGACTCACAACCTCTACCTTTTATACTTCCAAATACTCCATCAGTTAGGTGCTGTTACTAAAGATTTTGATAGGTGTATTGCTCTTTAGAGTTTTTAAAATACAGTTTTTAAGGAGTCACAACTGACAAATCTTATCAAATGTTACACTATCAAGGGTATAGCCTGGTGAATTGTTACAAGTGTATACACACAGGTAACCCCACCCAGATCAAGATACATATCTTTTTTTATGTTTTTAAGTTACATTTATTAGGGTAACGTTGGTTAATAACATTCTATAAATTTCAGGTATGCAACTTTATAATGCAATATCTGTGTACTCTCTTGCGGTCTCAGCACCTGAAGTCTAGTCTCCTGTCACCTCGCATTGGACCCCCTGCGCCCCCTTTGCCCTCCCCCCACCTCCATTCCCCTCACATGGTCATCTGTTGTTCGCAGCTGTGAATTTGCGTTTTTGAAGCTACGTAACTTTTTAAACACCGTTGCTGCTCACCCCACCCCTCACTCAATCCTGACTTTTATCACCATTTGTACCTTTCTTTCCCTTGTTTTTGAAGTTCATATAAATGTAATTATACACACATACTATCTAGGGTTGCCAGGTTTAGCACATAAAAATCCAGGATATCAGTTGAATTTAAATTTCCCATGGGATGTACGTAGAGTAAAAATAAAAAATAAAAAAAAATCAGTTTATTTTAAATTCATTTTTTTCTGTATTTCTAAAATATAGAAATTCATTCTATATTTTTATCTGGCCACTCCAGCAGTCTTTTGTACCTGGCTCCTCCCGAGATAATTCTGAGATTCACCCACATTGCCGTTAATATCAGTGACTTACTCTTCTTCATTGCTGCATTGTATTCCATTCCAGGGATGCACCTCAATATATTTATTCCTTTTACTGTTGGCAGGGACCGGGAGCCCCGTGTACAGAGGAGAAAACTAACGCTCACGGAGGCAAAGAGCCGCGCCCCAGGGACCATTCAAAGCCTGCCCGTCGGGCTCCAAAAACCTCCCGGATTCCTCAGGGCCTGTTTTTCAACCTGGAGCTCTGCTTCTCGAGCCCAGATGGTAGAGGTTCAGGTCTCAGCTTTGTGACCCTGGGCGAGCTATTTGCTTGTCTGTGAGTCCTGGTTTCTACACCTTGATACAGGCTGGCCTTGGAGAATCTGCCCAAAACAGACCCGGCGAGAACCAGCTGCCCCCGCTAAGGGGCGTTGGTGAAGATCTGAAGCGAGGCGGAGGCTCCCGGAGGAGGAGCTGTTCAGCCCCTAAATCAAAACCCGACTTACATTAGCAAGCTTAGAGAGTGCAAAGAAGCCTAGGATACCTTGTCGAATGTATCTGTCAGGTTCTAAAGCCACAAGCAGGCGCAGTGCGCGCGCGCACGCGCGCGTGGACGGAGCATGAGTGAGAGGGCCTGGCGGAGGCCTCGCTGAGAAAGCCCTGGCCTTGGGTCGAGGCTGTACTGAGTGCTCTGCCAGCCGCGACCCCGCTCCGTGCCCCTCCCGGGCCTGCGTGGCGGCACGTTCGACTAGGAGATTTTGCAGATTGGAGACACCGAGGCAGAGGAGAGTGGACGCTCTTAATGTCGGAGGTTGGCACGGGGACCTGCAACGCTGTGCTTTTGACCGCTACTTAGCTCTGCTGCTGTTGCTCAGGGTGGTAAATTTCGGTGTTTTGAACTTTTTTTGCACTTCTCGGCATTATACGAGGTTTTGTGGTATGTAGGTTTTTATTTTTTATTTTGTTTTAAACCAGGAACTAGAACTCGGGGTTCTAAAGTGGGTTTTTTGATATTTTTAAGACTGAGCTGTGAACACTTGTAGGGACAAACCACTCCCAGTCTTTCTTGTGGCCTTGAGATCATGGTCCTTGGAGGTGGGGACCCAGGGTCCAGCCCTGCCGTCCCACTGTCCCACTGTCCCAGGGCACGTGTCGTTCTGGGCAACAATCCAGTCGGCACCTTCCTCCCCGCAGGGGTCCTGGCAAGAGTGGTCCCTCAGTTAATGTCCCCTGGCTACAAGAAGAATGAATCGCTGTGCCCTCTGCTCCCTGCCTTCCCCTGGGGCCCTGAAGATTAATGAATGAACCAAGTCACTATAAGGTGCTAATAGCTTATAGGTTTTTAGAAAGACCTGCAGCTAGAGACACAAGACCAAGGCAACCAGATGAATGCCTAATGGTGGCCCCTTGGCCTGGCGGGGAGGGGGCCTACCCCCGAAATCCAGGCCCAGGCTGGTAGGAAGGGCCTTAGTCCTCAGTCCAGGAAGGGGCTGCTGGGAGTTTTCTGCCTGTGACCCCACTTGTGACCCCAGCTCCTATCAACCCAGCCTCCAAAAGGCTGGGCCCACAGGGCCATAAATTCCTGCTATCATTAGTCCGTATTGCTACAGCCTGGGCTGATTGCCAGGAGCTCTACAGTTATTTTTATCATTTACAAGTTTCATAAAGATTTTTTATCACCTTTTTCTCACAGCAGCGTTGCAAACAGGGCTGGTTTTGCTCCCTTTCGATTTGGAGTTGGGGAATCCAGGCCGCAGAGGGTTTCGGGGAATTTTTTTTTTTTTTTTTTTTTTTTTTACTTTGCCCAAAGCTCCAGAGAAAGTCAGGGCTTGACTTACAGCCTCTCTGGGGGCCAGGCGGGGGCTTTGTGTGATGCCAGAGGCTGTGGGAGAATCAGGGGGTGGACACTGGAACCATCAGTAACCAGGGAAAGGCTTTAGGCTCAGCTGCTTCTGAGCTGTGTGACCTAGGGCAAGTCACTCAGCCTCTCTGTGCCTCAGTTTCTTCATCAGTCAAATGAGGAAGTAATATTAGTACCCACCTCCTAAGTTAGTAGCTATAGGTGCTCACTAGCTGTGAGGTTCTATATTACCTTGAATCAGGACCTGGATTCTAAACTCAGACCCTGGAATGCTGGATGACTTGGGCAAATCTCTTGCCCTCTCTGAATCTCAGAATTCTCACCTGCAAAATGGGCATAATTTTGTCTGCATCACACCCTGACTGTTTTATGTCCAGTCCCACCAGCCTGGACTTCCTCACGTCCCCACACCTCCAACTCTGCTTGGTGCTAAGCCCAGCCCTCCCAGCCCCAGCTGTGCCTGCTAACCCTCCAGTATCATCTCAGACATCGTTCCTTCCGTCCCTCCCTTCTTTCCTTCACTTAATAAATATTTGTAGGGCACCTACTGTGTGCAAGGACTGTGCCAGGTGGTAGATAATACAGGCAAAGTCCCTGTCTTCAGGAAGGGGAGGTAGATCATAAACTGAAATGAGAAGAAAAACAAAAAACCCCAAGGCAATTACAAACTGTATTACTTCATAAAAGAAAATTAAAGCACCGTAAGAAGCAGCAAATGAGCAAGGTTGCTTCCTAGAAGGTGCTCTCCAAGGGGACACTTCTGTTTAAATTAATAGTTTATTTGAATATGCACATAGTACAAAATTCAGGCGCCGCACAGCATCAGGTGGTCAGAAGTGCCCCTCCCTGCCGGCTCGCGCCCCCCTCCCGATTTGCGGTCCTCCTCCAGAGAGGGCCCTGTGTCGTCAGTTTCTTGAGAGTGGGTGACATTGGTCAGCATCTGAATCACAAGAAGCAGCAGCAGTTTGCAAATGTGGGAGATAAGGCTTCCGAGTGGAGGGAGCAGCAAGTGCAAAGGCCCTGAGGCTGGACCAGCGTTACTAGGGAGAAAGAAGGGAACACAGAGGCAGTCGGGGTGGATGATGTGGGGCCAGGAAGCCAAAGGAAGGGGTTTGGGGGCAGGGGCAGGATGAGTGTCTTTTGATTTGTGTTATAGAAACACCACGGGGATGGATTTAGGGGTCCAAGCGGGGCGGTGAGACCACTGAGGTAGCACCTGCGCCGCCGGGGATGGTGACGGGGGGCCAGGGTGGGAGAGCTGGGGCCCTGAGAAGGGGCCGGCCTGGGTTGTTTGGGAGGTGGGGTGGAGAGCAGCGAGGGTCCCCTGGTCGTATGCTCTCAGGACGCCTCGCCACTGTTAGGGGCCTGTCTTTGCCATTATTGGATTAACGTTGCACCTTGTCACCTGGCACAGAGTGGGCACTTGGGACATATCTGCTGAAGAGATGACTAAAGGATGAAAAGTCCCTTTGTAAATGGAGACACGCCCTTTGAGAAAAGGCTGCAGCGGCCCCCCTGCCACCCAACCTTGCCAGGCAAGTCACCCCCAAATCCACCCTGCCCTTGGCAGCCTGCTTTCAATATGAGGACTCTTTGAAGCTCAGCCTTAAGATTCTCAGATTTTCCTAGTGGTAAACCCCTTCCCCCATGAAAGCCTGTTATGGAAAATGTATAGAAAGTTATTTTGTAACTTCCAATACCTAACGGGAGAAAGAGGTGAGCAAAACAGACACAACTTTCAACACAAATATCATACAAAGCCATCATCGAGAAAAAACAAGGCTGTTTTATTAAAAACCACAGGTTCAAATTGGGGTATAACCTGGCAATTCAAATTTCAAAAATATAAATGGAATCTTTTCATTCACCCAACAAAGAGCCATCAGACGCTCCTGCGGGGAAACTAGTCTCTGGGTCCAATCATCTCAGCATTTAGTTTAGTTTTTTTTTTTAAATCCACACAAAATCCTGCTTCATCCAGAGAAATATTTCTAGTGGTAACAGTCTGTGTGTATCTGTGTTTCAAAATTTTTATATCATTTAGAATATACAACATGCATTTAAGAAACACACAGACCTCAGTGGACAGCTCAGTACTCACCAGAGAGAACACCGCCATGTCACTGGCCCCCAGGGGAAGCCACAGGACCCGGCCAGCCCCCGGCAGCCCTCCGGACCCCCTTCCTCCGGGGCAGCCACAGCCCTGACTCCCGACATAATTTGGTCTGTTGGTGTCTGGCTTATGGACAGTCACCCCTATGTGCTATGACTACAGTTCATCCATTCTCGTGGCTGCACAGTCTTCCACTGTATGAATACACCACATAGTATTTTTTTAATAGCTCGTGCGGGATGGGGAAGGGGCAGAGACTGACTGGATGTGGCCCCTCCTAAGTCATTTCACACACCTCATGCTTTTGTTTTGTTCCCACTGAATGTGTTGCTGTGAAAGGTGGATGTCTGGCTTCTCTTGGAAGATCTGCCACTGCTGGGCCCCCAGACCCAAGTGCCTGGAGCGCAGTCCTGGCCGCCCCTTCTCAGCACGTGCGCACCGTCCCCATTTTGCCACAATTCCCGCCCCTCCCTCTTGCATCGCAACCAGGCTCACCTTACTCGCTAGTAATGCCCACGTGGCCGTGTAAACGTGTAAGTCTTCCACTCCAGCTTTAATTCAGCAGAGGTGGCCAAAACGCTTTATTCTGAGGTCCATACCACGACTAGATTTGGCAGCCCCCAGCAGAACGTAAGTTGTTTGCCACTGTGGAATGCATAGTTGAGTGCTCAGAAATGCTGTGATCATTCTTACTATTTCAAAAGATGTTTTTAAAATATATTCAAAGGTGTAGTAGAGGTCCTGGTTAAACATGGCCACCCTGGACCCAGACGCCCTTAAATCAAATCCTGGCTCTTCTACTCAGGAGCTGTGTGACCTCAAACAATTACAGAACTTCTCTATGCCCTTGTACAAAGGGCGATGCTAATAATATTTACCTCATTGGGTTCTTATGAAGACTAATTGAGCTAATACTTTATCAAGTCTTTAGAAAAGCACCTGGCACACAATATGCATTCAACATATGTGAGTTAATTATTATTTTAAAAAATGTGTGGGCAGGCAGATCCTCTGACCTGCCACAGTGACGAGCCATCTCAGTTTGCCCAAGATTGGGGATTTTCAAGAATTTCACGGCCAAAACTGGGAAAGTCCTAGGCAAAATAGGATGAGGTGGTCACTGTAGGCCTTCCTGACTGTTCTATCTCACTGTAACTTAACAGACAGGGCTTTTACTTTCATGAAATGATAGATTTGATTCTGAAGAGGATATTTGAAACACATGTGGAACCCCAAAAGCATCCTTTATGATATAATTTCTGCAAAGCGGTGAGCTTGCCTGCCTAATCCTCATTTCATAGTTTGGGAAACCGAGGCCCAGTGGGGCACAGCAGCCCCATGTTAGGGCCAGAGATGTTCCCCAGCCCCCACCTTCATGCCTCTCCTGCGTCGCTTCCTCCAGAGAGCTGCTGGGTGCTGCTTATTTTGCACCCGCCAGGTCCGAGGTGACGCACGCAGTCCTTCCCATTCATGTTACTCTCACAATAGCCTTAGCGGGTGGGTTCTACTGATACCCATCTGAGAGATGAGACGCCTTCTCTCTGCCTTCTATCCTGCCACTACCATTCATTCATTCTGTGTGTATCTGCCCAGTCATGGTGTTCCCTGGAACTTCTGTCACGGGGAACAATCAGGGAAAAATCACCCAGGTCCCCCGAGGCCTGTTTAGCTACTGAGTCTAGTCCCTTGTTTTCTGCAACCTGTATTTGACACATTGTGCAAGGATTTCTTTTCTTTCTTTCTTTCTTTCTTTCTTTCTTTCAATCAGTTAGCAAATGCCTATTGACCTGCTACTACTGGGACAATGTGGTGAATGACAGAGGACTCCAGTGCGGTGGGCAACCCAGGTCGCCAGGGTGGCTGCTGGCGAAGTGCGCGTCTTTCCAAGGCCCTGCGGCCAGGTGGGGGCCGACAGCGGGCATGTCAGTGAGTGGATCGCACCGCAGCGCAGAGAGGGCAGCGGGCGTCCAGAACTCTTCGCCGTGAACGAACTGTCAGGTGCAGCCAGAGGTTGGCTGGCACCACAGAGGTCGAAGTCAGGGCTTCTTAATCTCAGCACCATTGACACTTGGGGCCGAAGAATCCTCCAATGTGGGGGACTGTCCTGTGCATTGTAGGATGTTTAGCAGCTTCCCTGGCCCCCACCCACTAGATGTCAGTGGCCCTCCTACACCAGTCATGACAACTAAAAATGTGCCCAGACTTTGTCCACTGTCCCCTGAGGGGCAAAATCCCCCCAGCATGAGAACCACGGGCTTGACTGAAGCGAATTTGATGAAGGGAGGAGTGTTTGCGGAGGCAAGGGCTGGCTGAGGGCAACTTCAAGGAATGGAGAGGCTCCCAGGGGCTAGAAACAGTGGGGAGCCATGATCGCCCCAAGTCCCAAAGGGGCCAGAGAGGGAACAGCGTCACTGCTCCCGGACACAGCTGGTTCTGCAGAAGTGAGGCCGAGGCAGGCGGCGAGGGCAGGGAGGAACGCGGCCCCGCCCGGATCCCGGGAAAGCTGGGAGGGGTGGGCGGCACACGCGCCCCTGCTTCCCTCTCTTCCCGTCCTTTCATCTCCCCGTGGCTCCTCCTCTGATGGAGTCCAGAGGAAGTCAGGAGGCCTGGGTGCCTCCTGGGGCACTGAGCGGGGCACCCAGGGGCGCATGGGAGGCCGGGCCAACAGAGAATCCCTGTTGCAGGCAGGCAGCCCCCCAGTCCCTGGACATAGGACTTCAGTCTTGTGACTTACGTAGGAGTTTTCCAGACGGAGAAAGCCAGGAAAGGGTGTTTCCACCCAGGGGAACAGCAGGTACCAAGGAGTTACAAAACGCCTGGCTCTCATAGTTGTTTATTTAATTATGATTGTTTGTTTGATTGATTGACTCTGTTCTGCGTGCCCTTGGTGAAAATAAAACATTCAAAAGGTACAAAAGGGCATAAAATGAAAAGTAGATCTTCCTCCCACCCCTGACCCCAGCTTCTCAGCTCATCTCCCCAGAAACCACCTTTCTCTCCAGTCCCTTATCACCTAGGAATGATCAGTGCAAAGATGGTAAATGCTAGTAATATGTGTGACATGTATCATTCCTAACTTAATGTGATGTCTGTAGAGCGCCTGCTGTATTGCAAAGAAGTGGGCTGAGAACTCCAGCCTCGGACTCCTACACACAACACTCAGCTTCCCCCTCCCTCCTGCAGTCGAGGAGCGAGCGTCCCAGGGTCCTGCCAGCTCTGTGGGGTGTACCGTCTGGGCGAGGCCATCAGTAGCCTGTAAATGAGTGGTCTCCTCCTGAACAGCTGTGTTGTTCAAATGACATTTTGTGGATTAAACTGAATTAGAGCTGAACCACTGGGAAGAGGCAAAGTTTGTAACAGGAGCACAGATCGGCCTGGGGTGTGGTTCTGGAGACCACATGTCATTGCTCTGGGGAGGCGAGTGAGGTTTCTGTCTCCAAAGACCTGTTCTTCTCTCAGCCGCCAGGACACGTGCCTACGGTTTGGCCTCTAGGGCCACTGGGTTGGGAGCAGTTGGGTCCAGCCAACTGGGTGGCACGTGGCCTGGCCCAGACCTGCCTAGGGAAGGCCAGGTCTTTCCCGACTATCTGCAGCCGGTGTCTGCAGCCCTTAGGAATTTAAGACCAGAACAGGCAGCTGGGAAGGCCAGCAGTTTACAGATATGGGGGTCCCCACAGTCAACTCGTAAATTTTCTGGCGCCTGAAAGCAAACAACCAAATCTGGGCCTCTCTGTTACTTAACTATGCTATTTAACCCAGATGCCCAGCCGGAAGCCCAGAGGCCAGAGCAGAGCACAGCACGGGGCTCTTCCTTATCTCTGCTCGCTCGTTCTGCTCTCTCATTCTCTCAACACCCACTTCCTTCCAGACCATGTCCGTGTGCCCGGCTCTTACGGCAAACGTGCGCCCACCCCGGCGGGACCACCTGCTCTGGGCAGGTGCTGACCTCACACCAGCTCTCACCCCCCCCACCCCCCGCTGCTCTACAGGGAACCTGATGATCCCCCCTTTGTAAACAAGGAAACCCAAGGCTCAGAAAAGAGAGATGCTGGGCAGCGTGAGGTTGGAGATCATAAGGTATAGTCACATCAGTGGGCATTTTGCATGAAAAATGTGGAGTGCTGAACACAAAATCAGAGAATGTTAGAATCTTCAAGTCCAGGAGCCCAGGGCTCACAGACCTGTGTATTAGCAGTGTAATCCAGCCCCATCTGTTGGCCACACCACGGATGGAAAGTCCCTCTCTCTGGCCCATCTCCCTCCATTCAGGCGTCTTCCGCTCTTACCTGGGGTCTTGTTCCAGCCTCCTCTCTGGCCTCTCCTCCCAAACCTGCACGCAGCAGCCAGAGACATCTTCTTAAACTTGAAGCACAGCCTGTCACTCTTCCCCTTACAACCCTTCTTTGGCTCCCCTTTGCCCTCAGGATAAAGTTCAAACCCCTTGACCTGGTATATGAGGCCCGCTGTCATCTGGCCGTAGTCTCTTGCCACTCTGCCTTCCTCTGGCAGCACCCCCTGCCCCCCAACTTTACAACAATTCACACCGACCTCGTTTTGGTTCACCAAGTATGCCATGCACTCTCTTCCCCCCTGCAACTGACTCCTGGACCTTTGCATTTGCTGTTCCTTTCACTTGGAACACAGCGTACACCAGTGCCCGCTTCTCCAGTCCAAACACTCTCTCTCACCGTCTCCCCAGGAAGCCCCTTCTGCTTGCACCCCTCCCTCGCCCTCTGCACTCCCCGCCCAGTCCTGGGTCTACATGCATGACAGAGCTCACTGTGCATCCCACATGCCCATGTGCTCGCCTGTGTCCCCATTAGCCACAGGAGAGCAGAAACCTGGGTTATCTTTTCGGTGCTGAACGCCTAGCTCCTTGCATTGTGCCAGGCAGAGAAGTGTTGCCAAATCAATATGTATTGATAAGTGAATCACAGTACATTAGAATCACAGAATCACAAAATTTTGGAATCATGGACTTGGTGAATCAGAAGCCTCAAATCTCAGGATCATATAACCATAAACTTAGAAAGTGCTAGAAGCACAGAAACTGAGCATTGCAGAAGCTTAGGATTTCAATGGTGGAAGAATTCTTGTACAGGCATCTTGTCCTGTTAGTGGATTAGGTAAGACTCAGTTGTGCCCTTCTGTATTATTTAACTTATATTTTCACAAATATTTATATAATATTACATTGCCTTTCAAATATTTATTTTTATAATCTGTCCTCCTATGATATTCGTTTAGCATCTAACGTATGTATTAATCACGACTCATTGAGTACATAGTATTTGCCAGATACCATGCTGGCCAGCTGTATTTTGTCTATGGCGGCCTAACAAATTATCCTGATTTAAAACAACAAACATCCACCGTCCTGCAGTTTTTGTGTGGTAGGATTTCAGGAGTGGCTTAGCAAGATGGAACTCTCATGAGGTTACAGTCTGCCAGGGCTACGGTCCCCTGAAGCCTTGGCAGGGTCCACTTCCAAGATGGCTCATCCCCATGGCGAGCAGTTGAGAGGGGGCCGCAGGCCCTCCCTACATGGACCCAACAACAGGGCTGCTTGAGTGTCCTTATAACATGGCCGCTGGCTTCCTCAAAGCAAGTAATGCACTATGAATATGGTAAGACGGAACCCACAGAGCTTTTTGTAACTTAGCCTTGAAAGTCGCACCCCTTCATTTCCACAACAGCCTAGTGCTTGTACAGGACAGCCCCATTCAGTTTGGGAGAAAACTACACACTGGTGTGAGCACCAGGAAGCTGGTTATCACCGCTATGTTGAACAAGACCGACAATGTCCCTGCTCTTAGAGTTAACGGTCTTGGAGTGGGGGTGGGTGTATAGAGGAAAACAATAAATCGATATACAAATATATAGATAATGTCAGACAGCTGTAAGCACGGTGAAGAAACTCAGACAAGACAATACACTAGAGCCGGGATCAGCAAACCACAGTCATTGGCCAAGTCTGGCCTGCTGCCTGCTTTTGTAAATAAAGTTTTATTGGAACTCACCCATGCCCACGCACTTAAATACTGTTTATGGCTGCTTTCATGCTAAAACAGCAGATTTAATTAGTTGCAACAAAGATCATTTAGCCTTACAAAGCCGCATATATTTAGCTAAGTTGGTCAGGGAAGGCCTTTCCAAGAGGCAACATTTGAGCCGAGATCTAAATGATTAGAGGGAAGTGGCCATGGGGAGAATTAGGGAAAGAATGTTCCAGAAAAAGGGAACATCAGGGGGAAGGCTGTGAAATGAGAATGGCTTTGGTGTGTTGAGGAACAGGGAGGAGGCCAAGGGAGCTGGAATGGAGTGGCCCAGAGGCAGAGTGTAGGACACGACCTCAGGGAAGCGGTCAGGGGCCATGTTATGCAGAGCCGTGGGGCCCTCATGAGAAGTTTGAATTTAGTTGTATGCATGATGGGAAGCCGTCGGAGGGTTTTAAGAGGATGAGGCAGGATCGGACAGGGATGGCGACGAGGCCTGCTGTAGTTTGGCCCCATCCTCTGGGCAAGACCATGTCTCTGCCGCCCCCTCAGCACAGCCATCCCAGAACTTGTTGATCTTCATGAGACCAGGTAAAGACCTTGGCATTATCACTTGACAACCTGTTCAGGACCTGGCAGTCCCTCAGGCCAGAACGTCCTTTCGTTTGACCCACTTCGAGTCGCTTGCTCTCCCTCCCCAGCTTGCCTCTTCTGGATCTAGGAGATCTGTGAGGTTGGAAAGAACACTGGATTTTGAGACCTGGATTCCAGACTCTTGACTCACTTGTGATGACTCACTTGTGACCTTGAGTCAGGCCACCTTTCTGGGCCTCAGTTTCCTCATTTGTAAAATGAGGTGAGAATCCAATCTGCTTGGTCCAGGACCAGGTGATTGGAGATGGGGTCGCACTGGACACACCCACCAGAGTCCCAGGAAGAGCTCGAAGGACATGTGACAGCTTGGGCTGGGGTGGGCTTGGCCAGGCTGGGGTAGCCGACTTGGGTGATGGGAAAGGAGGGCGGTTGGGCAGAAGGCACCTTGCAAACCTTCTGCTTGAATCTGAAACATCAGGGCAGCTTGCTGCCTCCCAGGGAGTTGTGTGGCCCAGGACCTTTGAGGGAGATGACAGAGTCCATGTCCACATCTGGGTCAGCCGTGGGTATTAGGCAGAGCACAGGCTCTGTTGTCAGAGAAAGCTCCGCCTCTGCCACTTGTTTGCCCTGAGTCCTCTGTGTCCCCGGGTTTCTCATCTATGAAATAGCTAGAATCTCACTAAGATGCCCTCTTGTAAGAGGCACTAGCATTTTGTGTCCCGCTCCACAAGAAAACACAGTGACAATTTATGGCATAATGCTTGCTTAACACTTAGAATTTTTATTTTGTACTTATTAAAGAGCTCTCAGATGTTGTTTTTAAAATTGTACATCACCCTTGCACCTCCACAGGAGTGAAATAAATTAGTTCAGGAACTCCCAAAAGTTCTTCAGGGTCACCGTCCCGCTGACCTAGATCGCTCTTCCACTCAGAGTCTTCCTTGCCCATGTTTTTTTGCGCAACAGTGTCCTCTAGACCATGAAAAAGCTTTGCTCTACTATGGCCGCCGGGATTTTCCTCCGCCTCCCCTGCACGTTTGACCCTGGTGCTTTCTTCCTCTTATCAGGAGGCGTCAGCAGAAGGTTTTCAGGAAGCAACCAGGACTCACGTCCCTCCCTCAAATGATCCTCAAGTCCTTTGTGATGAAATACACAGAGGGTGCAGCTGGCCAGCGAGGCCACTGGAAATAATGACCAGAACCAACCGAGTCATGACTGCCACCCGTTCTAACCAACAGTGACAATGGGATGCCATTGATTTAAAGATACATCCTAACTTCAGAAATATCTCAATGTGAAAAAGAGCGTGTCGTCGAATTTTAGAATATCGCGATCACCGCTGTGGCTGGGGATTTATGCGAGGATGAAATAAACCCGAGATGGGCCCTGACTGCCGGCCCCTACGTCCCGGGCTCCGCGGTGGCGGCCCCTTGGCATTGCTCAGCTGCCCCAGTTCTCGTGGCCCAGGGCATCGCCCTCGCAGGGCCCACTCAGGTTTATGGCGACAATCACTGCCCCTGCCAGACATGATCTCAAAGCCATAAAGGCTTTTACAGTTTCACTCTCCCCTGAGATAAGCCCGAGGAGCCCTTCCCAAGGCCGGGGAGCAATTTCAGAGCCGCAGGGGGAGGGGCTGGGTGTTGCACAAGGAGGGAAATGGAACAAGTTTTATGGCCCCAACTTCTCTAAAAATACCATGTTCTCATATCCTCAACTTGAACCTGTTGGTGAAAACTCAGCACCCAGAGCGTAGTGATATTTATTCATTCATTCGTTCGTTCATTTGTTTATTCATTTGACAAACAGGGAATAGAGTGCAGAACACGCCAGTATGGGTCTCCTCACTTTGCCACTATTATGGTCTGTATGGACCCATGACAATTCACTTCCTCTCATCTGTAAAACAAGGATAATTCATTTAACCCGCCTCACAGCCTCACTGAGGTGACTAGGTAAAACCAGTCTGCTGGCACACTTAGCACATAGTAGGACTGCAACCCACACCGCCCCAACCCGTCTCCTCCCCATTGGCACTCATCTTACTTGTGCTTTGCTCCTCTTTCTCTTTCCACCTGGCTGCCGGAGTGGCCCAGAGTGAAGTCCTCGCGTGCATCTCTCTCTGGCTACGTGCCCACTTTAAGTGACCTCCTGCAACTATTTTGCCATGTTCTTCTTTCATATTTTTTATTAAGGTATCATTTCCATTCACTAAAACCTACCTTTTTTTTTTAGTGTTCTCCAAGTTTTGGCAAATGTATACGGTCAGGTAACCAACATCGCGGTCAAGATACAGAGTATGTCCGCCACCTCCAAGTCCCCTCCACCAAGTCCCCTCCCCACCCCGTCCCTAGCCCCTGGCAACCACCGTATCTCCCCCTGGAGCTGGATCTGTCCAGAATATCACGCAGATGGAATCACGAGGCAGGCAGCCTTAGGGGTCTGGAGTCTCGCACTCAGAATGATGCGTCTCAGGCCCGGGCGCTCGCGTCAGTAGGTTGTTCCTGTGTCTTGCTGAGCAGTGTCCCCATCTGGGCCTTCAGTCACATTTGTGCTTATGGCTTGGCCTCCGTCTCTCCAGCCACCTCTTCCCGGAGCTCTCAGCTCGTACATGCAGTGATTCCTTGGATGTTTAATCAGAGTGTCAAACAAAAATCCCAAGGGCACTGTGCTTTTTAACCCAAACCCACAGCCCCCGCAGTCTTCCTCAGTTCAAAGATGAGCACCACCAGCCCCACAGTTACATTTCTTTCCGTCATATATCATCTCCGTTAGCAAATTCTTGGCAGTGCTACTGCTAAAACATCCCATCCTGGCCACCCCCCCGCCCCGCACCT